CCTGGGATCATGACCTGAGCCGAAGGCAGGCCCTTAACGACTGAGCCACCCAGGCGCCCTGATATTTGGTTACTCTTAATTGATATATCTCTTGAAGGGTCTCCTGGATTTACTTCTTCCCGTATTTGAATGCTTCTTTCGAAATTGTTTTTAGTGTAGATCTTTGTATGGCAAACTTTTTGAGACTTTGAGTACTTGAGGATATTTGAGTTAAGCTCCCACATTGGAATCTAATTTGTTTGATACAAACATTCTAGGTCCCAAGTTCAAGTTCTGTCCTTTTAATACTTTAAACCCTTACTTCCTTTTAATACTTTAAACCCTTACTTCCTTGTCTTTTTAGAATTCTTTTTAGAATTCCTTGGAATCTTTTAATATGAGATCTTTCATCTTTTTTTAATCCCAGGAGATACCTTCTGCATTTTACATTTTGTTTTTCTCTTTTTGGGACTGTGTTTTTAGATCCTGCCCCTTCTACTTCTGCCTTCCATATTTCTTAACTTTTGTTTTTCAATTTTTTATAAGTTCTTCTTACCTTTTGAGATACGTCCTCAATGTGATGATTCACTTCACTAAGTTAGTCCTCATCAGTACCGATTCTACTGTACTTTGACTTTAAAACTTTAAAATTTTATCCCTATATATCTTCCGTAGATGATAAGTCTTCTAAGCCTGTTCACCTTTACAAATGGGATTTTTCCTTCATTTTTTGAGAGAGAAAGAGATTAAAGAAGAAAAAGATTTTGTAGTCAGTTCAATCCATGGCCCTATGGTAACATTTTCTCAAACTGTGTTATTTTGGTTGTTATCACTGGGGGAGAGGATACTAAGGGCTTCCTGAAATAGTTTTAGGGTCAAGTATATTTGAAGAACAGTGGGATAAATGAAATGAAACAGGTGTCTTTAAGGTAGAGTTATTTCAGGGCCTTTAATATGCTAATACATAATGTGACTCTTCAGTAGAGAGACTTTAATATGTAGCATTTCTTTCCTTTTGAAAAAAGAACACTTTCAGTTAATGTATATTTATACTAAGGCAATAAGAAACCAGTTATTTTTTCAGTTGGTAGAAGTTAAATAAATTAGATTTACTTGAACATATATTTGTTTTAATGTAATTTTTGTTAAAAATTTGTTTCAGGTTAGAAGCCGGCTTTATGTGGGTAAGCTCTTTTTTCTATTCTAGATCTCATCATTATTGTTTATAATTTTGAAACTTAAAACAATTTACCTATGATGATATGAACTTTCTTTTCAGGGAGAGAGAACAAGCTTGCTGTAGAACTTTCTACGCTAATTGATGAAAAATGTAAACTACTTGAAAAATTTAGTCTTGTTCAAAAAGAGGTAACATATTTTTGAAAATGTTAACATTCATGTTAGAGTCAGAGGACTTAATACTTTTCAATGCAGATACTTCACTGTAAGTTTGAGATTATTAATGCTTTGTAAAGTGTGATCATTCAGTTGCTCTTTATATTACCAATCTTACTAATTTTAACCATTGTGGTACATGTATTTAGTGGTGTCTCAGTGGTTTTAATCTGTATTTCCCTGATAATGAGGTTGAGCACTTTTTCAAGTATTTATTGGTCATGTTGGATATCCTTTTTGTGAAGTTCCCTGCTCGAGGTTTGTTTGTTGTTTTTTTCATATTTGAAAAGGTGTGGCTATCTCTCTTTTTCCTTTTTGATATGTAGAATATTTTCTGTTATTTGAATACGAGTCCTTTGTCAGATATATGTCCTGCAAATATTTTCCTCCACTGTGTGGTTTGCCTTTTTATTTCAAACAGTAAGCAGAAGTTCTTAATTTTAACACAGTCTAATTTGTCAATCTTGTCTTTTGATGACTGCTTTTTGTTTCTTATTTAAAAATTTTTGACTACTCATGGATATGGAAATACTCTGTTGTGCTACTTTTTAGAAACTTTGTTTTACTTTTCTCATTTAGTCTTTGTATAAATTTGGTAGGACTGCCATAACAAAATACCACAGGCCAGCTGGCTTATCCAACAGAAATTAATTTTTTTCACAGTTCTGGATCAAAGTGTTGGCAGGTTTGGTTTCTTATGAGGCTCCTCTCCTTAGCTTGCACGTAGTCGCCTTCTTGCCCGTACCTCATATGGTCTTACCTCTGTGCAGGTGTTTATTTCTGGTGTCTTTGTCTGTCTATATTTCCTCCCCCCCCTTTTTTTTAAAATTTTATTTATTTATTTGAGAGAGAGAGACAGAAAACAAGCAGGGGGAGCAGCAGAGGGAGAGGGAGAAGCAGGCTCTCCGCTGAGCAGGGAGCCTGATGCGGGGCTGGATCCCAGCACCCTGGGATCATGACCTGAGCCAAAGGCAGAGGCTTAACTGACTGAGCTACGCAGGTGCCCAGTGTTTCCTGTTCTTATAGGGACACCAGTCTGATTAGATAGATTAGGGCTCACCCTAAAGGCCTCATCTTAATCATCTCTTTAAAGGGCCTCTCTCCAAATACAGTCACATTGTGAGGTACTGGGCCTTTAACATATAAATTGTGGGGAAAACAGTTTAGCCCAAATGTAATTAGTCTTTAATTCATCTGGAATTGAATCTGTGATGGTATGATTTGGAAGTCAAGTTTCAATGTTTTTCATATGAATATTGAATTAGCCAGTACCATTTATTGAAAAGACCCATCTTTTCCTTTGTTCTGTAGTGTCATCTTAAATCAAGTGGCCATATATATCTGAGTCTTTCTATGATATCTTCTGTTCTGTTGGTCTATTTCTTAAAATTCTTGTGCCAATTTCATGCTATTTTAATCTATTGTATTTTTATAACAATTCTTCATAGCTGACAGTGTAAAACTCCATGTTTGTTCTTAAAGATTGTCTTGGTGATCTTGGGACTTTGCTATTCTATGTAAATTTTAAATCAGGGATGCCTGGGTGGCTCAGTTGGTTAAGCATCTGCCTTCAGCTCAGGTCATGATCCCAGGGGCCCGGGATCGAGCCCCACGTCGGGCTCCCTGCTCAGTGGGGAGCCTGCTCCTCCCTCTGCCTGCCACTTCCCTTGCTTGCTCAGTTTCTCTCTCTCTGACAAATAAATAAATAAAAATCTTAAAAAAACTTTTATCTTTAAAGATTTTATTCATTTATTTGCCGACGGTGGGTGGAGCACAAGCAGGGGAAGCAACAGAGGGAGAGAGAGAAGCAGACTCCCTGCTGAGCAGGGAGCCTGATGTGGGGCTCAATCCCAGGACCCTGGGTTCATGACCTGAGCTGAAGGCAGATGCTTAACTGACTGAGGCACCCAGGTGTCCCCCCACCCAATTTTTGTTTTTTTTTAATCAGTTCATCAGTTTACACACATAGCCTGCTAGGGATTTGATTGGGATTACATTGAATATATAGATCAATTTGGAGAGAACTGACGTCTTTATAATGTTGAATTCTTATCCATGTATTTATGCCTTTTTAAAATTCTCTCACTGTTGTATACATTTTTGTGTTGCAGTCTTTAACATCTTTTCTTAGATTTATTCCCTAGTATCTGATGATTTTTGAAACTATTCTAAATAGTATAGTTTTTTCTTAACAGCTTTGTTGGGATATAATTCACACACTATGCAGTTCACCCATTTAAAGTATACAAATGACTGGCTTTTGGTATATTTGCAGCTGTACATCCATTTTTTTGTACGTTTTTATTACCCCAAAAAGAAACCCTGTATGCCTTAGTTATCACCCTTCACCCAGTTTCCCCTACTGCCAAACCCTAGACAACTTACCTACTTTTTGTTTCTATAAATTTGTCTATTCTGGGTTCCATTTCACATAAATGGAATCATATAACATGTGGTTCTTTGTGTCTGGCTTTTTTCACTTAGCAAAATGTTTTCAAGGTTCATCCATGTTGTATATAGATTTGCCTATTCTGAACGTTTTACATTAATGGAATCATACAATATGTGGTCCTTTGTGACTGGCTTTTTTTCACTTACATTATGTTTTCAGGGTTAATCCATGTCGTAGCATGTATCGGTACTTACTTTCTTTTTTTGCCAAGTAATATTCTGTGCTACAATTTATATATCTCTTTGTCAGTTTGGTTATTCTGTTTTTTGGGTGCTATAAATGATGCTGCTATGGACATTCATATACAAGTTTTGTGTGGATATATGTTTTTAATTCTTTTGGGTATATACTTATGTATGAAATTGCTGGATCTATATTTAACTTTTTGAGGAAATGCCAAATTGTTTTCTATAGTGGCTATGCCAGTTGACATTCCTTCTGGGAGTTTGTGAGTCTAGTTTTTCCACATCCTTGCTGTCCTAGTGTGAAGTGGTATCTCACTGTAGTTTTAATTTGCATTTCTCTGATGGCTAATTGTGTTAAACATTTATCTTTTCATGTGCTCATTGGCCATTTATTTATCTTCTCTTGAGAAATGTCTCCTCAGTTCCTTTGCCTATTTTTAAAGTGGGTTATTCATCTTTTTTTTTTTAAATGTTTTCCCATTTTTTTTTTTTTTTTGTAAGATTTTATTCATTTATTTGACAGAGAGAGACACAGCGAGAGAAGGAACACAAGCAGGGGGAGTGGGAAAGGGAGAAGCAGGCTTCCCGCCGAGCAGGGAGCCCAATGCGGGGCCTATCCCAGGACCCTGAGATCATGACCTGAGCCGAAGGCAGTTGCTTAACCAACTGAGCCACCCAGGTGCCCTGGTTATTCATCTTTTTATTATTGAGTTGTAACTTTATATATTATAGATATGAGCTTCTTATCAGATATGTGATTTGCAAGTATTTTCCCTCATTTTTGTGGGTTGTCTCCTCACTTTCTTGGTGGTGTCTTTGAGGCATAAAAGTTTTTAATTTTTTTTTTTGAAGATTTTATTTATTCATTTGAGAGAGAGCACTAGTGGTGGGGAGGGGTAGAGGGAGAAGGAGGAGACTCCCCACCCTGAGCAGGGAGGTCGATGTGGGGCTCCATCCCAGGACCCTGAGACCATGATTAATGTCAGATTAATCAGCTGAGCCACCCAGGTGCACCTAAAAGTTTTTAATTTTGATAATGCTTAGTTTATCTACTTTTTCTTTTGTTGATTATACTTTTAGTGTCATATCTAAGAAATGGTTGCTTAAAACAAGCTCACAAAGATTTACACTTGTATTTCTTCCTAATAGTTTTATGGGATTAGATCTTATGTTTAGGTCTTTGATCTGTTTTGAATTAACTTTTTAGAAATTGTGTGAGGTAGGAGTGGGTCCAACTTCATTCTTTGGCGTGTGGATATCCAGTTTTTCCTAGCACCATTTGTTGAAAGAACTATTCTTTCCCCCATTGAATTGTTGTGGCACCCTTGTTGATAATCAGTTGACTGTAATTGTGAAGGTTCATTTCTGGATTCTCAACTTATTTCATTGATCTGTTATGTCTATCTTTATGTCAGTTCCAAACTGTCTTGATAAGTGAAAAGTTTTTTTTTTTTTTTGAAGATTTTATTTATTTATTTGAGAGAGAGAGAATGAGAGATAGAGAGCACGAGAGGGAAGAGGGTCAGAGGGAGAAGCAGACTCCCCGCCGAGCAGGGAGCCCGATGCGGGACTCGATCCCGGGACTCCAGGATCATGACCTGAGCCGAAGGCAGTCGCTTAACCAACTGAGCCACCCAGGCGCCCTTGATCAGTGTAGCTTTGTACTAAGGTTTGAAATTGGGAAATGTAAGTCCTCTAACTTTGTTCCTTTATTTCAAGATCATTTTGACTATTCTGAGTCCTTTGCATTTTCTGTGAATCTTGGGATCAGCTTGCAATTTCTGCAAGTAGATTAACGAGAATTTTTTTTTTTTAAGATTTTATTTTTGGGACGCCTGGGTGGCACAGTTGGTTGAGCCTATGACTCTTGGTTTCGGCTCAGGTCATGATCTGAGGGTTGTAGAACCGAGCCCTGCATCGGGCTCCACGCTGAGCTTGGAGTAGGCTTGGGACTCTCACTCTGCTCTCCCCGACTCCCACTAAAATAAATAAATCTTAAAAATTTTTTTTTTTTATTTTTAAGTAATCTCTGAATCCAACATGGGGCTTAAATCCACAACACTGAGATCAAGAGTCGCATGCTCCACTGACTAAGCCAGCCAGGCTCCCCAGATTAGCTGCAGTTTTGATAGGGTTTATGTTGAATCTCTAGATCAATTTGGGGAGTATTGCTATCTCAGTGATATTAAGTCTCTGATCTATGAATAGGAGATGTCTTTCCATTTACTTGGGTCTTCTCTATTTCAATAAAGTTTTATAGCTTTTAGAGGATAAGGCTTGGGGCACTTGGCTTGGTCAGTTGATAGAGCATGCTATCTTTGATGTCAGTTTTGTAAGTTTGAGCCCCATGCTGGGTGTAGAGATTACTTAAAAATAAAATCTTAAACAAAGAAACAAAAAATAGAATATAAGGCTTACACTTTTTTTGGTTAAATTTACTCTTACATATTTTAATCTTTTTGATGCTGTTGCAAATGAATTTTTTAAATTTCATTTTTTATTTGCTCATTGCTGGAATAGTTTTTATTCTCCTCTTATTTTCTAAACATTTGTGAGACCTTTAGTGAAGTATCTACATTTTTATTCCTGATAATTGGTTGTTTGTACTTTTCTCTTTCTTTTTTATCCTTTATTAGCCTTGGCAGTGTTTTATCAAATTTTTTAGTGCCTTTATTTAATTTAATTAATTTATAGATTTTATTTATTTGAGAGAGAGAGAGAGACTGCGCACACACACGCATACAAGGTGGGGAGGGGCAGAGGGAGAGGGAGAAGCAGACTCCTCGCTGAGCAGGGAGACTGATGTGGGGCTCAATCCTGGGACCCTGGGATCATGACCTGAGCCGAAGGCAGACCCTTAACTGACTGAGCCACACAGGCGCCCCTTTTTAGTGCCTTTAAAGAACAATCTTTTGGCTTGGTTGATTCTTTTTACTTTGTTTTATATTTCATTACTTTATTCTTTTTTTCCATGTTTCTTTGGTTTATTTTACTCTTCTTTTTTGTTCACTTTTTAGGATGTGTACTTAAATCATTGAATTTTTACTCTTTATAATTTCTGCATTAAAGCTATAATTTACTTTGGCTTTCATTAAAGCATCTCACCAGTCTGGGTATGTCATGTTTTCTTGATCATTCAGTATAAAATATTTTAAAATTTTTATTGTGCTGTCTTCTTTGAAACACTAGTTATTTGGTAGGGTACTTATTAATTACCTAATAAATAGAAATTTCCTAAAAATTTCTTTTTTATTTTTAGCTTAATTCTACCTAATTCTATTTAATTCAGAGTATACGCTCTATGATTTCAGTCCTTTGTTGTTTGCTGAGACTTAATTTATGGCTTGGCATAAGATTGATTTGGGTAAATGTTTCATGTATGACAGAAATACATACATTCATTACCCTTGTGTTAATACACACTTTTATTTACTCTAGTTTATTGGTATATAAATATAAAAATTATTTGTTACTTTTTAAATTCATATTATCTGTTGGTTCTTGAGAGAAGTATGTGTCCCATTATGACTATGCATTTGTTTTTCTTTTTTTTTTTTTTTTAAGATTTTATTTATTTGACAGAGAGATACAGCGAGAGAGGGAACACAAGCAGGGGGAGTGGGAGAGGGAGAAGCAGGCTTCCCGCTGAGCAGGGAGCCCGATGTGGGTCTCGATCCCAGGACCCTGGGATCATGACCTGAGCCTAAGGCAGACGCTTACTGACTGAGCCACCCAGGCGCCCTGCATTTGTTTTTCTCTTAATTTTATGTATATTGAGGCTATGTTAGGTGCATACAGATTTAGAATTGTTTTATCTTCTTAGTTAGATTGAGCCTTTTATCATTATGAAATACCCCTGTTTATCTTTAGGAATTTTTGATTTTATCTATTATTAGTGTAGCTATTACAAGCTTTCATTTGGTAAGTATTTTCACGGTAGATCTTTTCCCATTATTTTACTTTTAACCTTTTTTTTTTTTTTAAGAATTTTATTTATTTGACAGAGAGAGCACAAGCAGAGGGAGAGAGAGGGAGAAGCAGGCTCCCTGCTGAGCAAGGAGCCCGACGTGGGACTCAATCCCAGGACCCCGGGATCATGACCCGGGCCCAAGGCAGCCGTTTAACTGACTGAGCCACCCAGGCGTCCCTCTTTTTTTTTTTTTTAATAAAGACTTTTTTTTTAAGATTTTATTTATTTATTTGACGGAGAGAGACACAGCGAGAGAGGGAACACAAGCAGGGGGAGTAGGAGAGGGAGAAGCAGGCTTCCCTGCAGAGCAGGGAGCCCAATGCGGGGCTCGATCCCAGCATACTGGGATCATAACCTGAGCCGAACGCAGATGCTTAACTACTGAGCCACCCAGGTGGCCCTACTTTTAACCTTTTTAGGTACTTATATTTATGTTGTCTCTTTTAGAAATAGTATACTGTTGGGTTTTGCTTTTTTAAATCAGTCTAAAAAAATCTTTGTATTTAATGGAGTATTACTTCATTTGCATTCAGTTTATTAGGGTTTAAATCTGTCATCTTAACTCTTTCTTTTTGACACCTAGTCCATGTTCTTTTTTCTCTCCTCTCTTGTTTTCTTTCTTATTAAAATAGTTTACTTTTTATTACTTCAATATTTTCTGTATCAGTGGGTTTGTTACTTATGGATTATTTTATATTCTTTTAATGGTTACCTTAGAGGTTACAACATGTATCCTTAACTTATTAAAATCTAATATAAGTTAGTACTGTTACTACTTACTGGATGATGTGAAGATCTTAGAATACTTTAATTCCACTTGTCCCTTTTTGTCCAAGTGTTATTGCACTATATTTTGATTTTATATTTATTTAAACCTCCAAATCGTTTTATTACTATTTGAAATAGTGACCATTTATTTGGATTTATCCACATGTTTATTATTTCCATTGCTATTTATTCTTTCCTTCATTTTCAGCTTCCATCTGGGATGATTTTCCTTACTTCAGAAGAATACCCTAGTCTTTCCTTTGTTTTAAAAAAATATATTTTTTAATATTTTATTTTTTTGAGAGAGAGAGAGAGTGAGTGTGAGAGAGAGAACAGGAGCAGGGCAGAGGGAGAGGGAGTGGGAGAAGCAGATTCCCCTGCAGAGCAGGGAGCCCTTTGCGGGGCTGGATGCTAGGACCCTGGGATCATGACCTGAGCCGAAGGCAGACGCTTAACCAACTGAGCCACCCAGGTGCCTCACACTAGTTTTTCCTTTTGTGGAGTATATTGTTGATAAATTCTCTCAGTTTTTGTTGTCTGATAATGTATAATGTACATTTTGTATAATGCTGTTTATAGAATTCTAAGTTGGGAATTATTTTCTTTCTTTTCTTTTTAAGATTTAATTTATTTGTCAGAGAGAGAGAGAGGGCGCAAGCAGGCAACAGGCTCCCTGCTGAACAAGGAGCCTGATGCGGAACTTGATCCCAGGACCTTGGGATCATAACCTGAGCTGAAGGCAGCTGCTTAACCAACTGAGCCACCCAAGCATCCCATATTAATCTTATTTTAATGTCTTATTGACAAGTCTTTTTTTTTAGATTATTTATTTGAGGGGGAGAGAGAGAGTGAGCACAGTGGGGAGGGGCAGAGGAAAAGGGAGAGAGAATCTTAAGCCGATTTCATGCTGAGTGCAGAACCTGATGCGGAGCTCGATCTCACGACTCTGAGATCATGACCTGAGCCAAATCTAAGAGTTGGGGGTTTAACCAACTGTGCCACCCAGGCACCCTCTGACTGAAAATCTGTTATTTGTGTCCTTCAAGAGTCTGTTTCTCTTGCTTATTTTTTTTTCTTGGTTCTTAGTCAGATCTTGTGTTCATCAGTACCAGGTTATATAAGAGAAAAATTTGAAGCTATGAGTGATGTTATCTTTCTCCAGTGAGGATTTACTGTTGCTTCTCATAGGCAGCTAGGCTGAGACATCAGAAATCGTAAATTACTTTAATTACAGATTAAAATGTTTGGAAGTTTGGCTTTATTTCAAGGGATTGGTCTGTTTCTGGTTTAGACTTTCTTATAAGGTAGCTAGTATGGGTTGGTATTAGTTTCTGCTCAATTTTTGGCCTATCATCCTCTGCTTTTGGACAGGAAGAAGGAAATGTCAAATGCTGGTCTTGCTTCTCTGAGGATTCCCTCTTCTATCACAAATTCTCTGTGGATAGCTCTGAAGCCTTCAAATGTGTACCCTATTTTTCTGTGTGTTTTTGTCCATCTCTTCTTGTTCTGGTGGGAAGGTTTGTCCAAATAGCCTAGTCTTCCATTTAGTCACTTTTTTTTAAAGCATTGAAATAAGTTTATTTTGCCAAATCTTACAGCATTGTATGTTTCATATTCTTTGTTTTGTACGTTTAAAGATGTTATATTGCCTGCTTGCTTTATTTGTTGTATGATTTGAATTACAAGTGAAAATTTCTGATGGCTAGTTTGTATTAATTTCTCTTTAATGAATAGGCCGACTTACGACAGTTCTCTTAGTCTTAAGGGTGAAGTTCTGCCATTTGTTACTCAAGATGGGGGTTTGTGGTATGTTAGCTGCCCTGGCTCTATTACAGTGCTCATATTTGAAGAACTTAAAGCTAAGTAAATTGAAGTAAATTAAGCATACATGTGGAAGTGGATTTTGTTTGTGTCTTAGACACCTCTCCAGATAAATTTAGAATAAAATTTGTAGAGTTTTTCCTTACAGTGTTGCTTTCTTTCAGTGTGAAGGCTTAGAATCATCCTTAAAGGATGCCAGTTTTGAGAAGTCAACAGAAGCACAAAGTTTGGAGGTAAAAACAAATAATATAATTATAAAAGTTGGGGGTAAGATTCTTACTAAATAACATAAACTTTAAGAAAAATGTATCTCCTGAAAACTGTTTTAAAGGAAATGTGAAAGAGCATTGCTAGATGTTAAAACTTAAAGAAAAAGTTAATTATAGGAAATGGAACATTAGGTAGCATAAAATATCTTAAAAATTTAAGATCTCCTTGCTAACATATTCAGTTTACTGGAACCTAGGGCCATATAGAGGCTCTTTATTTTTCATTCTTAGGAATTAAATGTATTAAGTAACCATTCCTTTTCTTGATTCCGTTTGCTCTAGAAAGGAAGAATAGAATTCATTTTCATAAATTTAGGAATAGTTGGCAGGAATAAATTATGTAAATTGTGGCAGTACGTGCCTTAACGTGCCTTTACTTCATCCCCATTGTTATTAGGAGCTGACTAGAATTAGACCAAAGATTTATATTGTAAGCAGCAGTGTGCTGGTAAAGGTTTAACAGCTGGCTCTCTGAAAAGCAGGAGTCCTTATTTGTAGCATTTGCTTGGTTCTGTTGGGTAAATACTCTCAATTTCAAGGTACCAACATGATGTCACTGAACTCAGGGTTTGGAAGAGATATGTCTAGTCAGCTCTCCTGAGCCAGGTATGATTTGGCTAGTAGTAAGGGAAATAATAAAAATTTGTCATTAGCTAAGCTACAACAGATTAGGGTAAATGCTATTTGTTACTATTTAGAGATGGAAGTGTTGTCAGAAGCATAGTAGTACTAAAGTAGAAAACAATGGACTTTGTACTTTTTTTTGGTGTATGGGTTCAGACAGTCCAGCTCAGCTGTTATCAATCACTGATGTCTGTAACCATCAGAAAGTCTATGTATATAACACTGGATGTTAACTAACTGGAATTAAAATAGAAATTTAAAAAAAATCTGTAGATTATGTTTCAGAATTTCCTAGTAGAGTCCAAAGGAAGTTACAAATTGAATTCCAAATGGAGCAAATTTCTTAATCTTTTCTTTCTTCATTTGTTACCTATTAATATCCTCAAGAATTTGTTGAAATTGTTTTATTTACTGACCTTCTTTTTTATCTCCTGTTCTAGTAGTAACTTATTAGTTTGATTAAACAAGAAAGAATTGTAGAAGGCATTTAGCTTGCTAATAGAAGAGCCTAAACTGGACAGAAAAGGCATTTATTCAAGTTTGGTAATATTGTGGATAAAATAAAACACACCAATTTATTCTTAAGGAATTGAATTTACATGATCTAGCAGTAAAATTTAAATGAACAGTTTGGAAGTTTTTCCTCTGATTTTTATAATTTTAAAAAACATGTAGTGTTTATTTTTAAGCTTGGTAAACATAATATAAACTATATATGATAGAATTAAAAAAATTTGATGGTTGAATCAGTAGATAAAATCAAAACAGTACAGTAATTTTGATTCATGTCAGGGAGTTCATATAATGAAATCACCAAAGTTGGAGAAATACATATAAACAAGTTTTTAGCCACCATAATATAGTATGTACTTGTTCTTTTTTTATTTTGGTTTCCATTAAATTCTTTGAATTTTTTGGTTTTTTTTTTTAACAAGTTTGTTGAAGGATCACAAATATCAGAGGTATGTTTATTACAGTATTTAAAATCCAATTGGAATAATTCAATAACTAATCATTTAAAATTAAAAAGGTCCCAGAAAATAATTCAATGCAGAACATTATTCTGAAGCAATCTTCATTATCTTTTGAATTTAGTTTTTATTATGTCTTTGATTTTATTAAATCAGACTTATTTCTCATTTTTTCCTTTATAATGCTCTAAAGCAGAGGTTGGCAAACTATATTCTGGGCTCTCCACCTGTTGTTTTTTTTTTTAATTTTTTTTATTTAAGTATGGTTGATACAAATGTTAGATTAGTTTCAGGTGTACGACATAGTGATTCAGCATCTCCATGCTGTGCTCACCACAGGTATAGCTACAGTCTGTCTCATCATACAATGCTATTACAGTCTCATTGACTGTATTTCCTATGCTGGACCTCTTATTTCCATGACTTATTCCATCATTGGAAGCCTGATCTCCCACTCACCTTCACTTATTTTGCTCATCCCCCCACCATCTTTCCTGTGGCAACCATCAGTTTATTCCCTGAATTTATAGGTCTGATTCTGCTTTTTGTTTGTTTATTTGTTTTGTTTTTTTAGATTCCACATATGAGTGAAATCATTTGGTGTTTGTCTTTCTCAGTCTGACTTATTTCACTTAGCATAATACCCTTTAGGTCCATCCACATTGTCACAAATGGCAAGATCTCATCATTTTTTTATGGCTACGTAATACTCCATTGTGTGTATATACCACATCTTCTTTATCCATTCATCCATCGATGGACAGTTACGTGGCTGCCCTATTTTATTTAGTTATTGTAAATAATGCTGCAGTAAACATAGGTGTATATGTATCTTTTTGAATTAGTGGTTTTTTTTTTTTTAATGAAAAGTAGTGGAATCATTGGATCATACAGTATTTCTGTTTTCCACAGTGGCTGTACCAATTTACATTCCCAGCAACAGTGCACGAGGGTTCCTTTTTTCTCCACATCCTTGCCAACACTTGTTATGTTTTGGCTTTTTTATTTTAGCCATTTTGACAGGTGTGAGATGACACTTCATTGTGGTTTTGATTTGCATTTCCCTGATGATGAATGATGTTGAGGATCTTTACATGTGTCTGTTGGCCATCTGTATGTCTTCTTTGGAGAAAAGTCTGTTTAGGTCCTCTGCCCATTTTTAATCAGATTGTTTGGTTTCTCCACCTGTTTTTGTAAATAAAATTTTATTGGAACACAGCCATGCTCATTCATTTACATGTCTTTGCATTCTTACTACATAGGAGTAGTTGGGACAATGACTACATGGCCTGCAAGCCTAAAATATTTACTCTCTGGCTTTTTATAGAAAAAGTTTGCTGACCCCTGCTAGCATTGCTATTATTTAAATGGTATAAAAATGAACAAATATGTAAACTAAATTTATTTGATTTACAGTATATGTGTTTGATTATACTTGTGTGATTTATCATAACCAAAAAGTTCTATGCCTGTCTTAAAAAGTTGGCTTCCTCTTTTAGGCAGTCTATGAAAATCTGAACAAGTCTAAATCTGAACTGGAGGATGAAATACTTTTTCTGGAAAACCAATTAAAAGAAGAGAAATCTAAACATTCCGAACAAGATGAATTGGTAAGGTTTTTACATAAATGAGGAGACTGTAGGAAAAGAAAGTTACTGAATTTTATTTTATTTTATTTTTTTTTTAAAGATTATTTATTTATTTGAGAGAGAGAATGAGATAGAGAGCATGAGAGGGGAGAGGGTCAGAGGGAGAAGCAGACTCCCTGCTGAGCAGGGAGCCCGATGCGGGACTCGATCCTGGGACTCCAGCATCATGACCTGAGCTGAAGGCAGTCGCTTAACCAACTGAGCCACCCAGGCGCCCGAAAGTTACTGAATTTTAAAATATTAGTAGGTATCGGGGTGCCTGGTGGCTCATTTGATTAAGTGTCCGACTCTTGATCTCAGATCTCAGCTCAGATCTTGATCTCGGTCATGTGTTCAAGCCCTGTGTTGGGCTTTGTGCTGGGCATGGAGCCCACTTAAAAAAAATATATATATATATTGGTATCAGTTAAAGTATTATATGCATTCTAAAAAAAATCCCCAAAATACAGAAGGCTGTTAAGTAGAGAGTAAAATTTTCAAGATCCACTAGCTTTTTTTTACATGTTAGAGGTTACCATTACCATGTTAAGTTTCTTGCACATTCTTATATTTTCTATATGTACTATAAAGTGGCTCACATAAATAAAGTTGAATAATCACATACATGGTGGATTTTTTTTAATTACTCAAAAGGTATTTTGAGAACATTTTAACTTTGCTTTGGCATTTATTTTAAAATCTGTTGTAAGGAAGATCTAGATATGTGTGATTATTTAGTAAGATATGATGTCAGTGGACTTATCTTGAGCCTATATAACTTAAATATTATGAAATATTAAAGATGAGCTGAAATATTGCCTAACTTTCATATAAAATCTCTTTTATGGCTGACAAGTTTTCTTAGAATCCTCATTTTTTTTGAGTAGATGTATTAGGTTAACGATATATCTAAGGTATGTGGTGTCTTGGAAGCTGGAGAAATTTAGTAAATAAATACTCGTTTATTGATTGATGCTGTCTTTCCAGATGGTGGATATTTCAAAAAGGATACGGTCCCTAGAAGATGAATCAAAATCTCTTAAATCACAAGTGGCTGAAGTAAGTTGAATTAGCCTAGAAGGTCTGTTGCTTTTGAAAATCACTTTAATTTTACTGTTTTATGTTTAAAGAAGAAGATACAATACTAGAATTTGAGATACTGGGGTCTTAGGTATAGTTCCTTTGTAGAAGGTACTTCAGGAAGGTTCATTTTTTTGTTGGACAGATATTTATTGAGTTCTTCCTATGTACTGGTCATTGTTGAAAGTGCTTGGCACTTAACATTAGTAGAAAAAATAGGAAAGCTCTGATCTAGTTTAAATTCTAGTAAGAGAGGCAGATAATAAAAAGTTAACAAAATTTGCTACATAGTACATAAAAGATTACAAGTAGTTAACTCCTTTATCCAAGGCCACATGGCAAGTTCATGGCAGAGCCATGACTGGACCCTGATTCTAGACTAGCCTTTTTTCTATCCCTACACTGCCTTTCCTATTAATATTGGCATGTTTTTTACTTTAATTCCATGTTTTAGAGAGTATGTGTAAAAAAGAGCTATTGTATTGAATTAATTCTTATAAGCTTGATATGTTGTGTTTTATTTAGGCCAAAACAACCTTTAAAATATTTCAAATGAATGAAGAACGACTTAAGATAGCTATAAAAGATGCTTTGAGTGAAAATTCCCAACTTCAGGAAAGCCAGAAACAGGTTTGTACTCTATAGGGACTTTTAAACTGTGAATATGTAATTATAAATGTTTGGGCATACTCAAGACTGACCCATGCTAGGGGCAAGGTTAGGGTTTTCCTGGAAAACAGGAGAGCAGGACAATCTCCTATATACCCTTTGGTGTCTCTTTTGTATAGGGTGCAAAGTGTATATTCCTGGCACCTTGTTCCTTCAGTAGTTAGAGTAATCCAGGGCAAATTTTAGTAATCACAGCAGATAGCATTTAGTACCAACTCCTCAAAGCCAGACTGAAGGAGGACAGAATACACATGAGAATTATCTTGAAGCTATGGGTCTGGGGCTTAAAGATAGTTCTGGTGGTAGATCAAATTTACCCTCTTCCTTCTTCATATATATTAGACAGTCTCAGACAACCAAATATGTTTTCTGTCCCACTATTCTCCCAGTATAGTTAAAATTTTTCCATGGAAAAATTTTTTATTGATTACATTATTTACAGTTCTTTAAATGTTACAGCTGATCCACACGATGTGCTCTGACTACATGTTCTGTTTTACCCAACATTTTCTTTGCTCTAGGGTTAGTAATTGTTTTGTTTCCTGTATACCTGTCTATATGTCTGTCTTCTGGAGATGCTGAATATCTTATTCATTCAAATGCTGTTTTCTGGAGATTTAAATATCTTGTTTATGCATTCAAATGCTTTGTTAATCAACTGATTTTTTTTTTTTTTTTTTTTTTTTTGAAGCAATTCTTCCTGGGGTCTTCCATCCTCCTGATGTGATAGAAAGTTATTCTCTGGGTCTGTTAATGCTTCTGTTGTCCTGAGATTTCACTTCATTCCCATCTTTCCCTTTGTCTTTCTCCTGTGTTGGATCTTCTGTTTCCTGTATCCAAGACTTGCTCTTTTGTGGTTAATTCTCTTGATTAGCTTCTTGAGAAAAAGGTATAGAAGCTAACTTTTTAAAAAATTTGCATCTTCTTGAGAATGTCGTCTTCTCTCAAAGTTACTGACATTTTGTTTGGATATCTTCTGGGTTTAAATTTTTTTTTTCTTGAAATTTTGACATTATTCATCAGTGGTGTTTGTTTTCCAGTATTGCTTTTGAGAAGTCAAATGCTACTTGGATTACTGGATCTGTTTTTGTGATCTGCTCTTTTCCTCCCTGGAACCTTTTAATATCTTTCATTGTTTCTAGTTCTCCAAAATATCATGATGATGCGGGGTCTTTTTTCATACATTTGTTGGAATGTCTGGAACTCTTAGTCTGGAAACTCTTGCTCTTGATTCAGTTCTGGGAAATTGCTACATGCTTTTTTGGGGATTTTTATATGATTATACAGTAATTATTTGAAGATGTCCTCTTTGATTTCCTTGTTTATATGGGAGTTTTATTGACTTATTCTTCTATATTTTTCAATTTTAAGTATTTCTTTGTTTTGTTTTGCTTATGCCTCTTCTTTATATATGGATGCCATGTTCTTATCTTGCTGAAGATATTTTTTCTTTTTTCTTTTTGAAGTGTTATGTTTCAGTTCCCTGAGTTGTCTTGTTTCCTCTATTTTCTGTTTTGGTCTATGTCTTTTATTTAAGAGTTTCTTTTTAAAGTCAGATATTAGGTGATTCACTGCAATCTGCTTATTTATTTTTTTAAAAGATTTTATTTATTTATTTGAGAGAGAGAGATAGCGAGAGAGATCATGAGCAGGGAGGAGAGGGAAAAGCAGGTCCCTGCTGAGCAGGGAGCCCAACGCTGACTCAGTCCCAGGACCCTGGGATCATGACCCGAGCAGACGCTCAACCAGCTGAACCACCCAGGTGCCCACAGTCTGTTCATTTAATAGTGAAACTCTCCATGTCTAAGTGGAAGCTCTGTGTGTGTTACTGGGAGGTTCTTCTGTAGGGTAATGTGCCTAGGGTGTTTCATTGGATGATTCCCAATTGTTGGTATCTGAAGATCATTTTCTACAGGGGTGATACCTCCTCAGTTTCTGTTTGAGAGGTAGAAGCCCATTTGCCCAAAGTGAGATAAACAGAGAGGTAAGGCTTGTTGGTTTGTCACTATTCAGTAAGTCATCTTTCACTTAATACTTTTATGTTTTCAATATTTTACTCACACTTTCACGTGGGCCAGGTATCCCAGAGTTTCATTTTCCACTTCTCCAGAGAATAACTTTCTGGGCTTTTGCCAGATGTGTATATGTGTGTAAATAGTGTGTGTGCATGCATGTGAAAGATGAGGGTGGGTGGGAGAGATGGATGGAGAGTAAGAATGTATATATATGTATGTGCAGGGAGAACATGAGGGACTTTCTTTTTTTATACGTACTTTCAGGCAGTCCTCCTCTTTTCAATCCCACTTATACCCCTAGTGTTAGTGCCTCCAAATTATGAGCATTTTGGGTTGTATGAAATCAACCGGCATTTGGACTTTCCCATCTTCTGAGTAAATTTCAGCTCTGATGGTCTGCTGAATCTTTTACTATACTTCTTTCTCCTTCTACTTTTTTTCCCCCAGAGAGAGTGAGTTGGCAGGAGGGAGAGTGAGAAGGGAGAGGGAGAGAATCTTAAGCAGGACGCCCAGTGCAGAGCCTGACATGGGACTCAGTCCCAAGACCCTGAGATCAGGACCTGAGCCGAAATCAAGAGTCAGATGCTCAACTGACTGAGCCACCCAGGTGCCCCTCTACTTTCCACATCTAGAATTACCTTTTTCCTTATCGCCTATTTTCTTTTTTCTTGTGGGTTTATGCTGCTGCTTTTTTTCCTTTTCCTAAGTCTCTTAGTAGATTTACTCTCATATTAATAGACTGCAGGAGAAAGTGGTGGTAAACCTTGTGTTAAATTGCTCTGTTGAAATAAAAACTGGCCTTTTCTATCTTGAAAAAATTTCACCTAGATTGTCTTCCTCTTTTTTTTTAAGATTATTTATTTGAGAGAGAGGGGTGGGGAGTGGCAGAGGGAGAGGGAGAGAGAAATTTAAGCAGACTCCATGCTGAGCATGGAACCTGACACAGACCTTGGTCTGCAGCCCTGAGTTCATGACCTGAGCCAAAATCAAGAGTCATACGCTCATCCAGCTCTGCCGCCCAGGCACCCCTAGATTGTCTTACTCTTTACACCTGCTTTCATCTAACTCCTTTTTAATAACTAAAGTTCTTGAAATCAACTATTCTATATTCACTGATGCCATGTTCTAATACACTCCTTCCTTGACTTCTTAAGACTGCTGGGTATGCAATTTCTTATTCTTCCCTTTTTTTTTTTTTTTTTTAGATTTTTATTTATTTATTTGACAGAGAGAATGAGTGAGAGAAAGCGAGCACGAGCAGGGGTGGGGGTGGGCAGATGGAGAGGGAGAAGCAGACTCCCTGCTGAGCAGGCAGCCCTATGTGGGACTCCATCCCAGGACTCTGGGATTATGATCCTAGCTGAAGGCAGATGCCTAACCTACTGAGCCACCCAGCTGCCCCTGGATATCCAGTTTCTTTAGTAACTCTCTAGAGTCCATCTAATCACAAAATTCAGATTTTTGTCTTCAGTCCTCATTTGTTTTTAATCTGTTGGTATCCTCTTAATTCTGTTATACACGCGTAGAAAAAGTTTAGTTTTCTTGTGCTAGGAAATATGCTTATGAAGCCTTAGTTTTGCAGAGAAATCCAATAATTACTGTTTGATAGAATTGAGTTTTAAAGATTTAATAAATTTGGGCTTTTCTTTCATATTTATATGGCCCATTTCTTTTGTGAATTGGTTGCTCATTCATTTTTTTCCTGTTTTTCTTACTGACTTCTAAGAGATTTTTGCATGTTAAGGTTATTAATCTTTTGTCACATATGTATAAGAATTCCTTTCTAGTTACTTGTTTGTTTTTAGATTTTGTGTTGTTTTTTGATTTGTGAAGATTTAAGTGTTATGTAATCAAGTCTGTTTTATAACAATCCTTACCTTTTGCGTCACGTTCAAAAAGTATTTCCTGTAAAAGTGTATACAGTAAAAGACTTTATGCAGAATTTGATCTATTCCAGTTTAGTGGTATCTCTGGAAGTTTAGTTATCTTAACTATAAAACAGCACATGATTTAAAAAAAAATATAGGACTTAAGGGATGGTAAGAAATGACCAAATCTAAAATATATATATATGTCTCAAAAAGCCTTTTATTTGCTCTAAGTTTATTATGTAAACCAGTTGAACAGTGTTTAAGTTTTAAGTGTCTCTTATTTTGCATTATCCTTCTTGAAAATTCTTTGAAAACAGGAGCCTGCCTTTCATTCCCTTCTTTCCTTCCTTCATCCCTCCCCACTTTACCTCTTAGCAACACATTGTGTTGTATAATATCTATTAATGATACATCTAAATATATAAAAAAATTTCTTTACATATAAGTATGAAAAATAATGAGTTCCTTTTTTGTTTTGGTGGGGTTTGAATTTTAGCTTTTACAAGATGCTGAAGAATGGAAAGAACAAGTGAGTCAACTTAATAAACAGAAAATAACATTTGAAGACTCCAAAGTGAATGCAGAACAAGTTCTGTGTGATAAAGAAAATCAGATCAAGGTAAGTGGCCCCCCTGGTTTTAGTGACTGAGTCAGCTGGAATTTTGTACTAATTCTGAAATTTGAAAATTTTTGTCTTAGTGACTTTTATTTTTATAATTATTTGGTCAAATTTGAGCATGTGTACTTCTTTGGCATTCATTTTAATTTGTACCAGTATTGTCATTCTTGCTCCCAAATGCTCCTTGAAGACTCACAGATTTGTAACATATATTATATATTATGTAATAGTGTATACTAATTATATATTATGTAATATATAATATATTAATGTATATTATTGATATATATTATTAACATATGTGATCTATATAAATCATTATTCTGTGTGTCCTTTTTCTTCTTTGCTGTGTATTTTACCCTAGGTATTTAACGAAGAAAGAAAAAGAATAGTGGATTTTACCTTTGTCTTTAGACTGCCATCTGTTTCTATTGATAAGATGTTGGAAAGAATTTTAGAAATTGGACAGATGAAGTTATATGTATTGGCTGGATGTCTGTAATACCTAGATTAGTTGGTATATGTACTTTCATGTAGATGAATACTTTTCAAAAAATAAGTCTAATTGAAAGTTGACTCTAATAGGAATATAATAATTGATATTATTGTAAGATTTGTTCCCTTTTTTCCTACTCCTTATTTGCCTCATTCTAGCCCTTTTTCTTTCCTGTTCTTTTAAATCTTATGCTTTCAAGCTGCAAACAGATACTCAGGTGTGAGTATCAAGTAATAAGATGTAAAACTAATATTCTGTAATCTACGCAGTGAAGTGGAGGTTGCCATCTTGAAACCTATATTTATGCTCTTTACGTTGTTACTAAGAATTTTTTTTTAAATTTTATTTTATTATGTTATGTTATTATGTATCCCCCCACCCCCACTAAGAATGTTTTTAAGATTCCAGCTTTAGGAGTTGTATTCATAATTTGGGATATTGCTTTATTTTTTTCTCTAATCTTACCCTACTAAAGAACTTGGGATTCTTCCTAAACAGAACAAGAATGAGATGCTAATCTCAAGCTCAGTCAAAGCTGTAAGCCGTGTTATTTATCCCTGGAACTCTCAAGAGGGAAGAGATTGAAGGGTAGAAATTATAGAGCAGAATGGGTTTTTAGGTGGGTCCTTCCACAGAAATGCATGGCACAGTCATTTTACTACCTATAGTGCTAGAAAATCTTCCTTTATTTGAGAACATTCAAAAAGTACTGTTGGAAAACCTCTAATGTACCAATTCAGATTCTGTTCTATAATTTTTTTTCTTTATCTCAATTGAACTCCTCACCTAATCATTTATTTGAAAAAATCAGATCTGTAAAGTCTGTGATCTTTTTATATATCATGTGTCTCACTTGCAGATTTGTTTGACCTCACACAAAATTTACTCTCATGTTAATGGCCACTCTTATTTGTGGCATGTGAAGAATGTCCTATAAGAAAATGTTTTGTTACTCTATAGTCATGTGATGTATTTAGCAAAAATGGGCCATTATCAAGTATTGTATTTGATTTAGGAATAAACAGGAATAAAAACCCCTTTGGTTTTTAACTTGTAGAGTTTAATAGTCAATAAATGTTACAGCTTTTCAGAGTATTTACATATCTTAGTATCAGCTGGTGAATAAGAGCTCATTTACTGTTATCTATGTAGATTGATTTTTAAACTGTGACTGCACATTCAGAAGTTGTAAATTAGCAAAAGGCATTACCCTCTTTCTCTTTTCTCCCTTCTTTGCTAAATGTCAAGTCTCTTACTGAACGCTTGATAAAGATGAAAGATTGGGCTGCTGTGCTGGGAGAAGACATAAACGATGATAACTTGGAGTTGGAAATGAGTGAATCAGAAAATGGTATGCAGTTGGGTATTATTAAGTCATGATTCATCCTCTTTTGCTAAAAATGATGAGCCTGTTGTATTTTCTTTTAGTTCCTTATGTGCACCATGGTCTTTTTTTTTTTTTTTTGGCTCTCAAGTTTTCTTTTTTTTTTTAAATTTAAATTCAGTTAGTTAACATAAAATGTATTATTAGTTGCAGAGGTAGAGGTCAGTGATTTCATCAGTCTTATATACTACCTAGTGCTCATCACATCACATACCCTCCTTAGTGTCCATCACCCAGTTACACCATTCCCCACCTCCCTCCCCTCCAACTCTCAGTTTGTTTCCTGTGATTAAGAGTCTCTTATAGTTTGTTTCCCTCTCTGTTTTTGTCTTATTTTATTTTATACTCTCTTCCCCTATGATCCTCTGTTTTGTTTTTTAAATTCCACATATCAGTGAGATCATATGATAATTGTCTTTCTCTGATTGACTTATTTTGCTTAGCATAATACCCTCTAGTTTCATCCATGTTGTTGCAAATAGCAGGATTTCATTTTTTTATGTCTGACAGCACATCTTCTTTATCCATTCATCTTTGATGGACATATGGGCCCTTTCCATAGTTTGGGTATTGTGGACATTGCTGCTATAAACATTGGGGTGCAGGTGCCCCTTCAGATCACTACATTTGTATCTTTGGGGTAAATACCTAGTAGTGCAATTGCTGGGTTGTAGAGTAGCTCTGTTTTCAACTTTTTGAGGAACCTCCATACTGTTTTCCAGAGTGGCTACACCAGCTTGCATTCCCACCAACAGTGTAGGAGGGTTCCTCTTTCTCCACATCCTTGGTTTCCTGACTTGTTAAATTTAGCCATTCTGACTGGTGTGAGGTGGTATCTCATTGTGGTTTTGATTTGTAGTTCCCTGATGCTGAGTGATGTTGAGCATGTTTTCATGTGTCTGTTGGCCATTTGTGTGTTTTCTTTGGAGAAATACCTGTTTATATCTTCTGCCCATTTCTTGATTGGATTATTTGTTTTTTGTGTGCACCATGTTCTTTTTTCTTTTTTTTAAGATTTTATTTATTTATTTGACAGGGAGAGCGAGAGCACAAGCAGGGGGAACAGCAGAGGGAGAGGGAGAAGCAGGCTCCCCGTTGAGCAGGGAGCCCGATGCGGGGCTCCATCCCAGGACCCTGGGATCATGACCCTAGCCGAAGGCAGATGCTTAACCATCTGAGCCACCGAGGCGCCCCTGTGTGCACCATGTTCTTTATGCAATTCTGCTTTGGCACATCTTCTTCATCTGTCTCTAATACTTTGTCCTTCTCTCGCCTTCTCTTACTGTTAAGCTTCAGTTGGAATACTGCCTTTTCAGTAAATCTTTCTCCCAACTCCTCAGACAGATTTACAGCTTCTTTCTTCCCTGTTCTTTTTCTGTATTGTCCATCTTTGTTACAGCAATTTTCACATTGCATCATAATAATTTCAATGCCTGTTTTTCCCTGTCATGTCAGCTAATCAGATGGATGGGTGGGTAGTTTAAAAAATGAGTGTTATATAGATGAATATCTTAGGATACTGTTTTTGTTTGTTTAAATTAGATGGCTCAGTACTTTAATCCTGTCCATCCCAAATTGTTATTACCACTGCTGGTTGCAGTCTGGAAACTCAGGCATGAGTTAGGTTCACCATAGCCTCTCACTGTATTTTCAAACCAGTTCCTTTAACTTGAAAAAAGTATTTTTTGTTGACATAATTATAGATTCATTGGAAGTTGCAAAGAGAGTACAGAAGTGTTTTGTGTATCTTTTATTAGTTTCCCGCAGCTCTTCTGACTTTGTATCTTGTCTCTTTTTTCTCCTTCTACCCCCTGCATAATTAGCAAATTTATTAAGGAGCAGAAGATATAATTTTTTTTGTAAATTTCTTTGGTGATAGCATTAGTGTACTGGAAGAAAACTACATCCCTAAAGTGAACACATGTGTTCTGTTTGTACTTTTTCACTTCTGCTTTATCTTAAAAGAAGCAATTCCTTTTGTAATGAGAAAATGCATGCTTGTTTAATGTTATTTCAGTTTGGAGTATAATTCCAGTTACATTTTGTATGCTGAAAGATTCTAAGAATAGTTGAGACCAGGGACTGTGTTTAGGTGAATACCAGATTCTTATTATAAATTTGTTCTTGGAGTGAGTGGTGAAGAACCTCGTTAAATGAAATTATGGTACTTCCCGTGCTTTATTGTTTAGCTTCTTGGGAGCATGTCCAAGGCCATCCTGCCTTATATCAAATTCTTTATTAAAGCAAGAAGAGGGATTATAAGGCTCTAGTTGCGTGAACTAAAAAAATCATTTGGATATCTCTTGTGGCGTGGCACTGTTTTCCCAATTTATTGGTGTTTTTTTTTCTTCTTTTTTTTTTTTTTTACTATAGATAATCAACCAAAAGGAGCTTTGAAGAAGCTGATTCATGCTGCTAAGGTTTGCATTACTACATAAATATAAAGAATATAGAGAAGGAAATAGAACTTGGATTAAACCTATAGGTCCTTAGTAATTATTTTAAAAGTCCATTTTATAGTTACCACCATAGCAGTGATGCACATTTTCAGAAGTGATCAGCATTTTCTTTATCAATTGCTTTTTTCTTTTTTATAATAACTTTAGAAATTCATATTGTTAATTTTTAGAATTTATCACAATACAAATTTTTAAGGTCTGGACTAATGTTTTTGGATAAGGAATATATTAAAAATATTTAGTGTATTTTCTCTCATATTTCTGACTTTGAACATTCTTCTTCCTCTGGTCTCAGTATTTTCCTATTCCTGTTGCCCCATATCCTAATTTGAGAAGTAAATGCTAGGTTCAATTTCTTCTACTTTATCCCTTCTCTTTTCCATTGTAGTAGTGGTTATCTTGATCTTTACTGAACTATGTGAAGTCTTGGTAATGTACTTTGAAGCTTGCTTTAATTAAAACTTCTGTGTTGAAAGTAAATAGAATGAAAATACCCACTTTTTAGGGATCAGTCATTGATCTCTCTCTGTTCTGATATTTACAACTACTGATAACTTTTCAAGATGGAAGCTGCATTGTTGGTTAATGCATTCTAGGTGGTAATTTCAGCAGAGTGATCAAAGAACTTCAAAAGGTTGGGATAGTATATTGAGATTTTTTGTTTTTCCTTTTTTGGTATAACTGATTAATGTTGCTTTTTTCCTTCTTCCATTCTCTGAAGTTAAATGCTTCTTTAAAAACCCTGGAAGGAGAAAGAAACCAAATTTACATTCAATTATCTGAAGTAGATAAGACAAAAGAAGAGCTTACAGGTAGGTTATATCTCCTTATCCAGAATGGTACTGTTAACTGAATCAATTATGCAAAGGCCCAATTCGATTGTTTTTTTAACTTTTACTTTTGTTTCTGATTTGTGAAAAATTAGTACTGAGTTTTTTGTTGGTGGTAAAGCCTGATTATCAGTTTCCTCCAAATTCATATGAAATAAAGATAATGAAATTATTTAAAAAAAAACATGTAAAACCATACTTATCTTTGAATTTCAGTGTTATATGTGTGATATGGTTTTAGATGTTAAAAAGTAGCAAATTAAAACTGTTAACTTTTAAAAGATCATCCCTATGATCCAGTTTTACCAGAGATGATATCCGGCATTAATGTCTGTTAAATGACTGTTCTTGGCATTGGCTTAAAACCTAGGTTAACAGATTTCTTCTGATGTAGATTTAAAAATTTCTGTGGAAGGACAGGTATGCACATTAAAATCATTTGATGTTAGCATATTTACTTTAAACTTTCCTTTTGATATATATGATTAATTAATAGATGAATAATTATATACCTTTAGAGTAATTAGAATGCCATTACATATGATTACTAAAATTTTCATGCTTGTTAGTATGATTTTGTGATTTTTGAAACTGCCCTCTACACAGAATAAGTTTTGCCTTTCATTAAGATTTGTGGTGGGGGCGCCTGGCTGGCTTAGTCGGTAGAGGTAGACCATGCGACTCTTAATCTCAGGGTCATGAGTGCAAGCCCCACATTGGGTGTGGAGCCTACTTAATAAAAAAGATTTGTGGTTATGATTTATATACATGTTTTGGGAGATGGCACCTCAGTCTTAGAGGAGGTCAAAGGTGGAGTTATGATGTTGGACGATAAATGGTTTTTAATAACAATGCACTAATTATCTAGCACTCATAATTACTTAGAATTGTTAATTTTTGTTTTATAGATAATTCTTTTAGGTGGGTTAGCATTTGAAACAAGTTAAAACTGGTATTTTTCTCTCCAGTCTTGATCTGGATTAAGCTAGGATGATTTTGTACCATTTCTTATCAGAAGGTCGAAATTTCTGCTCAATTTTGCTTAAAAGAAAAGAAATTTCTTCTCAATTTTGCTTAAAAGGAGGGCTGGCTAGAAATTAAGTATTAACCTGTAAACTTTTTACTAGATAAAAATAGGAATTGTTCATCATGTGGAAGTAGTTTCACAGGGAATGTTTTTTTTTTTTTAAAGATTTTATTTTTTTTTGTGACAGTGCGCTGGTAGCGGCACTAGCCTGAGCAGGGGCGGGAGGGCAGAGGGAGAAGCAGGCTCCCTACTGAGCAAGTAGCCTGATAGGGGACTTGATCCCAGCCAAAGGCAGACACTTAACCAACTGAGCCACTTAGGCGCCCACAGGAAATGTTGAACTAAAATATTTCCCTTCAGAACTCTCATCTCCATAACCATCATGAGAATTCTACTGGTTTTTGGCACCCTAACTGAAAAGTAGATGCTGGAATTAGAATATTGAAGGTTTTGGGAAATCTTGGAGTAATAAAAAAGTTGTAACAGTTTATCTAGTTCTTTACTTAAAATATTAAAGAGCATTTAGGTGAACAAAATACACATTCTGTTGGAAAGAATTTCATTTATTAATAATTTATTATTTTTGATAATTTTAATCTTTATGAAATATTACTGTGCATCTCAAAATGTTTACTCCTTTGTGATTTTTAAAAATTTTCTATAGAGTGTATTAAAAATCTCCAGACTGAACAAGCATCTTTGCAGTCAGAAAATATACAATTTGAAAGTGAGAATCAGAAGCTTCAGCAGAAACTTAAAGTAATGACCGAATTGTATCAAGAAAATGAAATGACACTTCACAGGTAATAAAAATTGCATTGATAACTTCACTGTATGGCAAGTAAAATAGCTTAAAAATAGTGCATATTCAGCTTATGTGATATTCAAAGTACTCAATTTATGATTGGGTAATATTTCATCAGTTCATTTTTAAGGAAGTTATTTGATCTTGAAACACTTTTTCTTCTGAATCTGACCATTTTTCATGCCTCCCCTACTATGAGTCTCATCTAAACCATCATCAGTTAGTGCCTGGTTTATTGCAGAAGCCTTATGAGTAGTTTTTTTCCACTTAACTTCCTGCACAGTTGTCTCCAGTGGCATGACCCTTCTAAAACATAAATTATGGGTATTGTCACTGTCTTGTTTGCAAACTCCAAGTGCCTTCATGTAACACTTAGAATTTAGTCCAAAGCTTTTATATGGCCTACAAGACTCTGTAAGATCTGACCTTTGGCTACCTCTTTTTTTTTTTTTCCTTTTTCCTGGTTATGCCTTTAATTTTAGCTTATTCATTTTCTTTTTCCTTCATTACCCTCCAGCACACTGGCCTTTCTCGATGATCTTTAGCATGCTAAGCACATCTATACCTCAGGGCCTTTTGCACTTGCTCTTTCTGCCTTGGACTGGTATTCCCCTGTATAAGGTTAAATCCTTCATTTCATTTGGGTCTAGGTTCAAATGTTGCTTCAAAGAATCTTACTCTGGTTACCCTAACTAAGATAATACCTGCAATTCCCTATCCCCTTGTGTTGCTTTATTTTTCTTTATAGCCCTTATAGTCCTCTGATGAATGTCTTTTTTTTTTTTAATCTTCCCAACATTAAATGTAAACTCCATGAGAGAATTACTTTATTCTCTTTTCTTCTGTATTTCTGGTTCCTAATATTCTGTCTGGCACATGGTAGTTATTCAATAAACATTTGTTGAATATATGAATAAGTATGTTAGTACCTTTATATATTAGAGTGAAAGATTCTGTGCATGTGTGTACTGATGCCTAAATGCATAGAAACACAGAAGACTGTTAAGTTACCTATCTGGAGATTCCAGATTTTCAAATACCACTATAGGACATATTTTTCATCATAAAAGGAAATAAAATATAACTTGATTTAATTAATGTAATTTCAAGCCCCTTTAATGAAAGTTATTACAGCCGATCTTCATTATTCGTAGTTTCTGTATTTGCAAATTTACCTACTTGAGAAAACTTACTTTTAACCCCAAACCAGTACTCACGGAGCTGTAGTGGTCATTCTTAGACATGCACAGAACGGCAAAAAATGTGAATTGCCCAATGTGCACGTTCCCAGTATGCTTTTGTATTTCAGCTCTTATTTTGTAAACAGGTGTCCTTTTTGCATTATATGTAGTTGCCATGTTTTTGTGCTTTTTGTCAAAAGATAATCTTTGTTCGGACATGAGTTATAATGCTGTTGGCCATGAGTTCATTATTAATAAACCAACAATAGATGTTAAATAAGGTGTGTTTAAACCAACACACATAAAACAGGGTTATGTATTGACTGGTAGATGAAAATGCTGTCACCAGAGCATACAGAAACCTAATTCTGCTTCCCTTAAGAGCACTGGTTCAGTATTTGCTAATTTAAGATTTGTGGTGACTTTAGAAAACATAACTAATGGGAAAGAGATTCTTTTTTATGTATTTGGAAACTGGTAGAAAATACCAACATTACCTTGCCATCAGGATGCTGGGGGATTTGTTAAGCTCTGTCATTGCCAAGCTGTATACTTCAATCATTCTTTGGGGTCCATTCAAAAATTAAAAACTTGCTGTTCATCATGGACCTTTGGGTCACTTGGGACTGCTCAGGGTATGAAAGAGAAATACACTTGACTAAATGGAAGAGCTACAGAGTGGACAGCTCATGGGTTTCATCAGTAAACATAGGAATGGACAACCCTTCATTTTAGGTTAGGATGAAAGATACTGTGAGTAAAATTTGGGCATAAAGGGGATTAGTTGAGGTAAAAGGAATACTTTTGAGTGTATCTTTTGTTTTGTTTTGTTTTGTTTTTTAAAGATTTTTATTTATCTGACAGAGAGAGACAGCGAGAGAGGGAACACAATCAGGGGGAGTGGGAGAGGGAGAAGCAGGCTTCCCGCCGAGCAGAGAGCCCGATGCGGGACTTGATCCCAGGACCTTGGGATCATGACCTGAGCCGAAGGCAGACACTTAACGACTGAGCCACCCAGGCGCCCCTTGAGTGTATCTTTTGAACTTGATTGATTAATTATAGAATTTCGATGAGGAATGTTTAAAATTTCAAAAAGAAAAGGTGTTCTCTGTAGATATTCAGAGCACGGGTGGGAAGCTGAGTAGAATCTTGTCTCTGTATGTTGTTGACATTGTGATTTCATTCATTAATCTGAAGTATTTTCAATTCCCAAAATACTGTATATTCCATTCTTACATTTAAATTAAAATATTCATTACTCAAATTCAGTGAATTGTGCCACTGGTTGTTCTTTAGAGTAGAATATAGAGAGTTGATAGTGTTACTAAAATGTTAAATTAATATTTTTGCCTGCATACCAGTATGATTTAGATTCAGTCATTTTCTAGATGCTAGTTTGATGGTGTCCATGAGGTATATTACATTACTAGCACTTTTCCAGATTTAATATTGGAGAGAAGTGAAATAGTATAACATAGAAGCTTGATATGTTGCCTTATTATTATTTTATTTTTTTATTTTTTATTTTTTTAGAGGTTGAGGGGCAGGGAGAGAGAGAGAATCTTTTTTTTTTCTTCAGATTTTTATTTTACTTATTTTTAGAGAGAGAGAGAGCACATGAGCATGCAGGAGGGTGCAGAGGGAGAGGGAGAGAATCTTAAGCAGGTTCCATGCCTAGTGCGGAGCCTGATGTGGGGCTCGATCTCACAACCCTGAGATCATGACCTGAGCCATAACTGATGCTTAACCGACTGAGCCGCACAGATGCCCTGATAAGTTGCTTTAAATATGTGAAGTAAGATGTAATTGTTTTTTGGTCAAATCATCAGGCTTCTTTTATAGTGTAATTTCCATCATTAATGAGCCTACCCAAATTCAAGGGGAAGGTTCACAGACTACTTCTTAGCAGCAGAGGTGTCAAAGAAATTCTAGCCATTTTTAATCTAGATTCTGTAAAAATACACCTCCTTCTATCTCCAAGCCCATTATACTTTCATACTTCTTCTGAAGAGATGATTTTTATTTTCTTCTAACACCTATGAAACGATTGACCTAGCAAGTGCTTTCTTAGCAACTGGTAATGTAGTTTGTGGAATATAAAACATTTAGTCCTGCCCTGTAGAATTTCTTCAGTAATTTGTCATGTGCCTCTTCCAAGTTCATGAAGAAGGGGAGACATTCACATTTAGGACTCCAAATGTCTTTTCCTGTGGTATTCAATAAGTATTTCTTGAAGGACCAGTGTTACTGATGATACCATGTGAAACAATGAGTAATATAGTATAATGGAGTCACTACTTGCTAGCTCTATGCCTAGGTTCACTTATTTAGTTTCTCTGTGCTTCCTTTCTCTTCTTGTAGAGCTATTATAATTAAATAGGATAATAATACATGTAAAAGTCTAAAAACAATTTCTTGCACATACTAATGGCTCACTAAGTTAGCTGTTATTACTAAGAGAACTAGAAGTAGTAAGAAGGAGTGTTACTACTACTTTTATTTACTTTGGGTTCTTTATAAGTTGGGTTTTGTTTTTGTTTTTTTTGGTGTATGTGAACTGTCCTGGAAGCTTAATTACTATGTTAACGACTTAACAACCAATTTAAAAATGATTGAAATACAGTTCATTACTTGATGACTTCTTGTCTAATAAATGTAATGTTGCTTTATATGAGAAGTCTTAATAAATAATATATAGTCATGATAGTTTCTACTAATATTTACCTTTGGTCTTATTTTTATGATAAAGTCTTATAGAAAACTCTTAAAACTTTTATATTAGCAGTACTATATTAGACAAGACACTTTATAATTTCAGTTTATAATATTAAGTTCCACACCAGGAATATTTACCGCAGGTACTTTTTTTCTTGCATGTGATGTTTTTAGTGGTGTTATGCAAATTGTTTTATGGGAAACACCAGTTGCCATATAATTAAAAAGATATATATAATTATCTTATGACATACTGTAGAAAAACAACACTTTTTGTTTTAAGGAAATTAACAGTAGAGGAAAATTACCGATTAGAGAAAGAGGAGAAACTTTCCAAAGCAGATGAAAAGATCAGTCATGCAGCTGAAGAGCTGGAGACCTACAGGTACTGAACATATTTTACTCCTTTCTTTTTGAGGTGGGAAGGGTATCCAAAAACCTAATATCAGAAAAAATAATAAAGCAACCAAAAAAAATAAACCCAACATTTTTCTGATTATTTTTCATTTGGATATCTTGCTATTATGCAATTACACAGAAAATATAAGAAGGAAAAAATGTTTTCCTTTCAGTGTGTATGATTTTGAATCTCTCACATTAGTTGTATTTGAACATGGGAAATCCTATTTTATGTTAATGTGAAGAAATTTATGAATAGCTGTTAATTTCAAGGTCTTTCCTCTTTGGTTCAAATGGGGAAGAATGTATACAATATTAAGGAATTTGAGAAGTATGCCTCAAAAAGAGTGAGCCACAGCTAAAGGTCTGAAGAAGTGTTTATATGTCTAGTTTTTTCCTTGGTTCACTTGTCATTAGTTCCATGGAAATAAAAGAAAACCTAGAGAAGATAAGGGGCAAGATTTAGCAGTGTCCCAAACAGTTCTGATATTTCATTTTGTATTAGGAAGAGTAAGCTTGGGTTTTATCCAAAAGAAGAAATTATCTTACTAGTTGTGTAAAGGTAGTAAGTAACATTTTATTTCACACGGTTAATTTCCTAGAATTCTGTTAGGATTACAGGCATCTGAATAAGTCTTCCAAGTTCATGCTTCTTAAAAATAAAGACAAACCAGTATACCATATAAATCCTCACATGGCCTTTGGTTTAGGTAAACCCAAGTAACAGTACTCTTAAAGCACAATTAATGTTAAAATTATATCAAGAAAAATATACTGCTTTAGAACCTCTTAAAGCTGATTAATGTGTAGAGTTCTGTAGTTATTTTTTATATTAAACAAAGCACTCTAGGTGTTTTAATTTCTATTTTCAGTAGATACAGTGTATTCTCTCATTTCTTAGTATATGTTAATAGTAGAATGATTGTTCCTTATAGAAAGCGAGCCAAAGATCTTGAAGAAGAATTGGCGAGAACCATTCATTCTTATCAAGGGCAGGTATGTATGTATGTATGTATGTATGTATGTATGTGTGTGTGTGTGTGTAAATTAAAACAATTATGATTTGTTTGAATTGTTTATCTCTATTTTGATATAGGAGTATAGTTACTTGATAGTTGTACACTTCTCTTGAGGTTTTGCACATGTCTGTGGGACATTTATAGGGAGCCAAAGTTCTGGAATAAGAGACCTTGTTTAAAATTGCCATGTCTCCTGCTTCTTTGGGAATGTGGATTGAATAAATAAATAAACATATATCTGCATTGGGGGTCTCATATTCACTTGGGCTAATTATCTCTTAGTTGGTAACTCATTGTAGTTGATTATTGCATAAAACAGTAATTTACTAGACAAATTTCATTCAGTTTTTGTTATAAGAATAATATAATAAATCGTGTATATGAAAATTTGCTTTAAAAATGTTACTTTTCAGAGATGCTTGAGTTATTTTTGAGTTTATGAGTTGTGTACTAAAATCATAGTGGTAGATGTGAAATTTTTTACTTAAGAAAACCAGTAGTATTTTATTTTATTTTTTTTAAGATTTTATTATTTATTTGAGAGAGAGAGAATGAGAGAGAGAGAGAGAGAGAGCACATGAGAGGGGGGAGGGTCAGAGGGAGAAGCAGACTCCCTGCCGAACAGGGAGCCCGATGCGGGACTCGATCCTGGGACTCCAGGATCATGACCTGAGCCAAAGGCAGTCGCTTAACTGACTGAGCCACCCAGGCGCCCCAAGAAAACCAGTAGTATTTTAATGAATTTCTTTTTCAGATTATTTCCCATGAGAAAAAAGCACATGATAATTGGGTGAGTTTTAAATTCTCTTTGTCATGTTGTTCTTTTTCCTAATTTAAATGAGCAGTTTAAAAGGTATACTTTCATACTGCAAATTAGGTTAGTATTAAATAAAATCAGTTTCTTTTCATTTTACTGGTAGTGAAATTAAGTTCTTTATGAACTAAATACTTTGTTATAACACAGTTATTCACAAAATCTGGTTTTTCCCTCTTTGCTTTTACTTTGCAAGGAGCTTATATTCTCTGGGGGAGGTGATGTAATGTTCATGGATTAATTGTTTGAGGACCCTGGATTATCACTGATTATGTGGACAAGTTACTTAAAATTACTGGGCCTGTTCACTCATCTGTAAAAACAACAGATTGAACTAAGTGATATTGAAAGCCTCTTCTGGTTGTAAAAGTTACACAGTTTGGGTATCTGATTCTCAGTGTTGAATTACTTGATACACATCAAGAAAAAGGTCACTGTGAGAAACGGCATGTCAGTGCTCCAGAGGAGGACTGTGTAAGGAAATGATAAGGATATAGGTTCTACTAATTGTAGGAATGGTCTGTCTAATATGTAGAACTGTTGTAATAGCTGGTGTTTGTAGGACTTGTTCCTAGGAGTCTTCAAGGGGAGACAGTTTGCACAGTGGATGAACACATGGAGTCTGGAGTCAGCCTGTCATGGTTGGTATCCTGGTTCCATCACCTGTAACAACAACATCTGTTGTTTCCTTACCTGTAAGGAAAGATAGATATATCAATAGTACCTATTTCATAGAGTTACTATGATGAGTAAGTAAGATAACTCATGTAAGGCTCTTAGCCAGGAGCTTGACACATAGTAAGCACTCAGTACATGTTAACTATTATTACACTGTTGTACTGAAGCTTGGGAGATATTTCTTAGATGTGGATATTTCTTGGAGTGGAGATTCTAGCATAGGTTGAGAATTAGACATGTTGAATTTCCGGGCTCTTCCCGTTTCTCAGATTTTGTGTTGAGGGCTCAAGTGAAGATTTGTTATTAAATTAAGCTGGGCTTGGAGATGAATTTAATCTTTTCCACCACTCCCCACTACTTTCTGAATACTAAGAACAGATTATTTTTTAAAGATGAGAAGAACTGATGTTTGTTAGTCTCTTGTATTCTAGACATTATACTTAAAGGCATTTTGCATATATAACTCATTCAATCCACATAGTAACTATAAAATAGGTATTATAATTCAAATATTACAGATGAGGAAACAGCCCAAGGTCACATGATCAAAGAGTGAAGAGTAGAGATTGAAATTCTGACCTTTTTGATTCCAAGTCTGAGCTTTTTCTGTTACTGTACATTGCATTTCTTGACTTTAATTAATGACATTGACTTTATGTTAAAACATGCAAAAAGGGGGCACCTGGGTGGCTCAGTCAGTTAAGCGTCTGCCTTTGGCTCAGGTCATGATCCCAGGGTCCTGGAATTGAGCCCCACGTCAGACTGTCTGCTCAGCAGGGAGTCTGCTCCCTCTCCCTCTGCCTGCCACTCCCTCTGCGGGGGAATGCAAAAATGGAAAAAATATCCTTTATGTCTCAAAATGAAGATTTTTTAAAAAATATTTTATTTGCGAGACAGAGAAAGAGAGAGAGTGCACATATGAACAAGGGGAGGGACAGAGGGAGAGGAGGAAGCAGACTCCCCACTGAGCAGGGAGCCCGATCTAGGGCTCCGTCCCAGGACCCTGGGATCATGCCCTGAGCCAAAGGCAGAGGTTTAACCAACAGAGCCACCCAGACACCCCTCAAAATGATTTTTTTTTTAGATTTTATAAAAATTATGTATACTTAGTGAATAAAAAGTTCAGACTATATAGAAAAGATGTACAAAGAAGTAATCAGCATATCACTTTCATTTATTCTATACCTAAAAAAATATGTTTAGACATAAATCGCATGTATGTTTTAAAAACTGAAAACATGCTATATATAACTTTTATATCCTGCTTTATTTAATATATTGTAGATATTTTTCTATGAATATTTTATAATTTTTTTTTAAGATTTTTATTTATTTGAGAGAGAGTGAGAGAGAGCACAGGCAGGGTAAAGGGCAGAGGGAGAAGCAGACTCCCTGCTGAACAGGGAGCCCGATGTGGGGCTCCATCCTGGGACTCCGGGATCATGACCTGAGCCGAAGGCAGGCGATTAACCAACTGAGCCACGCAGGCACCCCTGAATATTTTATAATTTATATAAACCTTTCCCATTTGATAAATGTTTCCCTTGTTTCTACTTTTTTACTGTTATAAATAATTTCACAACTTCAGATGTTACTTTTTCCTTTGAGCATTTCTTTGCTCCATCCCATTAGATTTAATCTTTTCTTCTTTTGAATTCACATAATACTTTGTTTTTATGAGTTCTATGGCAAGTACTATGGTCATTTATAGTTGTCCTTACCACAGATTTAAGCTGCTTAAGATAGGGACTGTTTCTTTTCCCTTAATACCTGTACTTAATAGAATGCTTTTTTGCATATTGTAAGTATTTAATATCTGAATACAGTGTGGTCATTCATTGAAAGTACAGTTTTACCTAACCTTTGAAGTGTAAGCTTTTCAAAAGCTTGTAATCATTTAGCATGGGTGCATTTATATTTATATTTTTTGTAGATACGTCTTTCATATTTTTTTTTTAAAGAGATTGTGTATAATTGGTGTTAATTTTTCTTTCTTTTTTTTTTTAAGATTTTTTATTTATTTATTTGAGAGAGAGAATGAGAGAGAGAGAGTACATGAGACGGGGGAAGGTCAGAGGGAGAAGCAGACTCCCCACTGAGCAGGGAGTCTGATGCGGGACTCGATCCTGGGACTCCAGTATCATGACCTGAGCCGAAGGCAGTCGCTTAACCAACTGAGCCACCCAGGCGCCCTGTCTTTCATACTGATAGCACTATAATCATAGTAGAATTTACTTTTGACTTATTAACTTTGCATAGTTTTGTGCTTTATAATTAAGAGTAAATAGGTTATACTAAATGTGTAGAAAACATTTAGAAGCAATTTTGGTTCTGCATTATTAAATGAATTGGTATTTTATTAACTAAAATTGTTATGTGTAATATTCTTTTTTATTACTATAAAATTGATTATATAGTTATGTTAGAAAATGCTTTATACATGGAATCTTTTTGATAATGAATGCTAAAATATGGTTAAGCTATGTTTTTTTGTGTATATGTGTGTGAATATTTAACATACTTTATTCTTTGGCCAGTTAATGTCAGTTTTAATGTGTAGTTATAATTTTAAGTGAATACATTTGATAGATAGTTCTTTTTACCTGTAAAAAGTTGTGGTTATAGACTGAGTGAAGTTGCCTACCTTTGTATGATAAATACATTTGCTCAAGTGGATTGCATTAGTTTGGCCAGGTCTGATGTTCTAGACACTGCTACTTCTTAACTGGAAAGTTCACAGAATGACTGGGAAAACATGCATACAGTATTCCATACACGTTTAACCTTTGCCCACAAACTACTTAGGAATATTATATGTTCTTGGTATTTTTTATAAGTGTAAGTTTATTTTGTGATTTTCTAACCTTTTATTAAATAAAAATTTCACTAAACAAATGTAAAAGACTATAGGAATTGATTTTTACAGTGCTGTGCACTTAACAGACATGCTGCATGCTTTGATTATATTCAGCCATTTTAAAAAATGGCCTATTGGGTGTGCTGTGAAACTGTTACAGACCTGTATGGTTTCATTGCAAATAGTGATTTCTCTCCAGAGATGGCTATCTATGATATTATAGCCAGTGTATCCATGCCTAATGATTCTGTGTCTCCATTCCCATCACCCTAAGCTCGGGTCCTCTTACATTGCTTTTGTCATGTTGTTTGGATATTGACAGCAGGAAATAGTGCTAATCCTTAACTTCACATCTAGATAACAGCATTCATTGGCAAGTACGTGATCAGACTCCAGCCTTGAGACTCATGTCTTCTGGTTATAGGAAACTCATACCCTTTTAAATAAGACCCTAAATTAAAAAATTTTTACGATGAGTTTCTGAAATGGATACTTAAGTGATTGTGATATTTATGAATACTTATCTCTCATTTTACGTTTGTATGTGTTATTTTTAAAATGTATTTTCAAAAAAAGATAAAAAATGTATTATTTTCTTTAAGTTGGCAGCTCGGACTGCTGAAAGAAATCTTAATGATTTGAGGAAAGAAAATGCTCACAATAGACAAAAGTAAGTATCTTTGTGGGAACACTTTAAAGCTTTAGTTAGTACTTTATTTTTAATTGTTATTTATTATGTAGTACTTTTATAGGGATAAATAAAACTTGCATGGATCCAGCATATCTGGTGGTGAAATATTTATTAGTTTTACTATGAGTTACTAGATTTTTTTTGTTTGAAACACTTGTCTTAGAGAAGTTATTTTAACAGAAGTAAACTGTTCATATGTTCTTCTGTAAAAAGCATAACTTAAAAAAAAAATTTTTTTAAACCAGAGTAGGAAGAAGACGATTACAAGGGATTTGGAAAGAGAAAGGACAAATCTTTCATCTAGTAATTCTCAGAGTAGTGGCATCTTTTAGTAGATGATTGGGTAGAGTAAATGTTTATTGTTTCTCTCATTCTCTGGTTTTCTTGTATTGGATGACAGTGCCTTACAATAATAAAATGAAAGGGAGAATAAAAGTTTACAATGTATAATCAAAAGGAAGAGTAAATACTTTTCTAGGAGGATTATAATAGTCTTCCCAGGTGTTAAAATTTCTTGCCAGAATGTATTATTAACATTATCCAATATTAGTTTAGTCTTTTTGCTGGTCTTTTCTACTCTGAAATTAAAACTCCATGATTAAATGTTTTACTATGTTTTATTTCAGATCTGATGATCAAAAACTAGAAATAAGATTTCTTTTAAAATGTCACATTTTTCAGATAAAAGGTTTAGGAGTAAAATAGTAGGATGAGTTCACTGGATTCTTATGTTATGATTGGAATCGTGGGTAACATTATAATAGAAAGCAGACATGACTCAGAGCTAGGAGCCCTGGGTTTAATCCTTGCACTTTCATTTTGAATAAATCTTGTAAACTTTTAGCCCTGTTTCCTTGGTTGTAAAGTGATAGATTTGAACTGGTTGACCTTGGAAGGCCCTGCTGTTTCTAAAATTTGGGTTCTGTGATAATAGTATTCACTGTAGTTTAGTTTTGAAAACAGAATAATAGAAAGGTGTTTTGGTCAGAATGTTTGTTTATTTTGGTTTCTTTTTTTAATTTTAATTCCAGTCTAGTTAACACACAGTGTTCTATTAGTTTCAGGAGTACAATATAGTTATTTGACAATTATATATATTACTCGTAAGAATAATTTTAAAGATCTGTTTCTTCTATGTAGATACTGAGGTAGTGAAGAGTACCTTATACTTGGTAGTGGCATTTTTCTTGAAATGTGGGTGCTTTTCTTGGATGAGTAACTTAGAGATGTTTGTTCTTTATTTGCAGATTAACTGAAACAGAGTTTAAATTTGAACTTTTAGAAAAAGATCCTTATGCACTTGATGTTCCAAATACAGCATTTGGCAGAGGTAGTCTTTTTTTTTAAACCCTTTAAAATACATATATATATATGTATATATTGCACATACCTTTTATATTAGTGTAAATTAATACTATTATTTATAAATATTTTAGATTTTGGAGCCAGGATTCTAATCTGAGTTCTATCACAATCTCCCAAGTTTCTGAGTTTTGTTTCCCTAGCAAAAATATAAATAATTGCTGCCTCCATTTCTCAGTGGGCCTTTGTAAGATGATGTCTATTTAGTACATTGAACTCCTTGAAAAGCAAAGTACTTGGCACATAGTAAGGTACTCAATAATTATTTTGGGGGAGAATGAATAAGGAGTGCTTAAATGGAATACTGTTGTGACTGTTTACATATCCACTATTCTTCGGAATTTGCTTGAATTATAAAAACAAGAATTATAACAGTTGTTTTTAATTATTTGAAAGTATCAATTTAAGGTGGGAAAACAATAATCTGAGCTTTCATTGCTTTAATTACCTCCAAGAGAGGACCAGTTCTTTGGAAGATGTATTTAATATTCTTGTCCACTCATTAATGAGTTAACATTTTTAATGATCTCATACTGTTCCAAATAGTTTAAATTTTTCAAAATAATTTTTGGTTGAATTGGAATTAAGCATCTAAGGCAGTGAAAAAAAAAGCTATCTTTATATAGGTGGAATCCCATTTTAATAACTTTTGAAGGTATAAAAATCACTTTTGAGAGTCTAATTTCATTAAAATGAAAGTATTTTTACATTTAACAAAATAGATTATTATTAATTTCAAATAGTAATAAAGTGGTGGGAATTATACAGAAGGAATTCTCTTCTGAACCTAATGCAGAAGTTTCAGAAAGACTAAATAATGCTTTGATCTTTTGTTGTAACTGCATTTGACTATTATATAAGCTACATAATAAAATTTAACATGTTTAAAAAGTATTATTTTGGTGGTACTTAAGCTTGTTTTTTGATGTTGATTTTTGATCTTTGGAAGTATAATCATTACTTGGGAGTGGTGAGGTTTGTAAAATGATAGGGCTCTTGGTTATATGGTTTATAAAGTGATTTATTTGCTGAATAAATGTAATCTGAATTTTCAGTGGCAATGAATCAAAAGTAATTTCTGATGCTTTAGAGGATTTTTCATTTCTACTTTTCAAAATCTGAGCTTTACTCAAATAATTCATGGCCCAACACAGACTATCTGGCTCTAATTTAAACTGAGCCCTTTTATATTACAACCCTCACCAGCTGAACTATCTGGAAGCATACTGCCATTAAAAGCAAAACCAAACAAACTTCATAACCCCCAAATCCTTTTATACCTCTAAAATATCACCATTATCCTTTGCTTATTAATATTGTATGGTTATTTAAGTGTGTTAGTTACCAAGAGGATAATGTTTTTATTGACTACAGTATCCATTTGGTAGACAGACTTTAAAAACACAGGGTTCCATATTTAATTCTATCCCATATTAGCAAAACCTAGGGCATAGTTAGTATTCAGGATGTGGATTAAACTTAAATTGGCAATAGGGTGACCTGATGGAAATTGTTGAAATGGAATTCTAATCTATAGTGTAGCTAATTGAAACTATGAATTTAAACATGCTGTTTTAATTATTCCAGAGCATTCCCCATATGGTCCCTCACCATTGGGTCGACCTTCATCTGAAACGAGAGCTTTTCTCTCCCCTCCAACTTTGTTGGAGGGTCCACTCAGACTCTCACCTTTGCTTCCAGGGGGAGGAGGAAGAGGTATATTGTTTAAACATCTTTATTACTCTAGATTTCTTCCTTATTTTATATTTTCATCTCAACTTATCTTTAAAATGATCTTTAAAATAAACCTTTGGAAAATACAGGCATTCCTTGCACTTATTATAGGTTGCTTTTGTTTGGAAAAGGAGCTCTGTGATATCTAATTTTAATATACTTTTCTCTTAGAAACAGGATTATAATAGGTTACATTTTGATCAAGCACTTGATGTATATCTCTTTAAATCATTTTGACTTCTTAAAAACTATATATTATACTACATAATACAGCACTATATAAAGAATGCATAAAATACAATCTAACCTAGCATAAAATTGTATCTTAGGGTGCCTGGGTGGCTCAGTTGGTTAAGCGACTGCCTTCGGCTCAGGTCATGATCCTGGAGTCCCAGGATTGGGTCCCGCATAGGGCTCCCTGCTCGGCAGGGAGTCTGCTTCTCCCTCTGACCCTCCCCCCTCTCATGTGCTCTCTCTCTCTCTCCGTTTCTCTCTCTTGAATAAATAAAATCTTTAAAAAAAATTTAAAAAATTGTAGTTTAATGAAACATTATTAAAATGGAGAATTTACAAAATCTTTTTACTTCATCATCGTGATCTTTTTATTGTAGAAAATCAAAGTGAAAGAAAGAACCTTTTTTTAGAGTAGAGTAATTCAGAAGTCCTATCTTGTAGACAGTTTTGATGAGAGCCTTAAAGGAGACCTAAATTATTTGTTAATACTTTGAGAAACTGACTCAAGATTGTCTGCTTTGTTACCCTGAATGGGTTTTTGAGAATTTCAGCAGTTATTTCAAGCCTGTGCAGTAGCTCTTGGTCTTTTTGCATTTACTTCATCAGCACTAACCCTGGTGTTACCTATGTACCTGGAGCTTTCCTCTTTTGATCCTTTACCATACTTTGTTCACTTCGTCAAGTTGTTTTAAAATTTTCCCTTGAATTGTGGCAAAATGCAAAGATACAGAGAGCACTGTTTATTCCCAAATCAAAAGTCTTAGGTTTTTAGCCCTAAGTCTGTATTGTACAAGAGCTGATAGTATTCTTCAATGTTGTGATCCCATTCCTCCCCCATATTGAATCTAAGGTAGGAAGAGAAAGTAATGAGACTAAATCAAAACACCAAACTAAACCCAATTTATCAAAGGTAAATCTAAGGTAGGAAAGAGAAAGTAATGAGACTAAATCAAAATACCAAACTAAACCCAACTTATCAAAGCTCATATATTGAAATGGATACTACTTATCAAAATAGTCTCTCACAGAGGCTGTACTTCCCTGTTGAAGTGCCATTATTTTAAATATTTTTGGAGCTCTTTCTTTGGGATTACCTTCAAAGAATGAGAAAATGAATTTTCTACTTTATGGTTATGGGATATTCTCCCTTTGCCCATTTCCTATTTACATATTTTTTCCTTATTCTCAGTTTGATATACTTAGTGCTGATCTCTCCTACCTCCCAGTCCTACTGCTGATTGGGCCCACAGCTTGGAGACATTTCAGATATCTTTGCTTGTGTTGGCTTTGAACTGAAAACTGCTAGGGAAAGAGTGAGTTGCAGACTGACACTTGGAGCCCTGGGAGAGCTTTGCCTTGAGCACTTTAGGAAGGGGACTAATTTTGAAATTCACATGTGTGCTATAAGTGCCCTGAAATTCATTTTCCCCCTGATTTTTCACCTTGATCTGAACAGTAAGAAATATATTTTATATCATGTCCTATTATACACCAACATAAATGTAATGGAAACCATTTATATGAAATAGTACTACCCTTACTATTTTTGATGCTTTCTGCTATTTTCTCTTCATTTCTATTCCATTTCATTAAAAAAAAATTGCTGATTAAGAGTAAATTAATTTCATGCACCACGATGGGTTGCAGCCAGCAGTCTGAAAAATAGTGCCCTAGAAATAAGGGTATTACTGGCTAAACTGCAAATGTGAATCACTGGAAGTTGAGTAACATAAGTCAAGGATTGCTTGTAGTCAATTGAATATTTGGGAATAAGAGTAAAAATTACCTTTGATTTCTCCTCTCCTATTTAAATTCCTTTCCTCTCCTTTTTAATTACTTTCAAGAAATGATGTGTTTAGATTATTTGCAAGGGTGTTTTGCTATTTGTTAGAAAAGCTACAGAAGTTTTAGGTAAGTTATCAGTAGGTCTTAAAAGAGTTGCTTTGAAGTAAAAGTTCCTGTGACTCACCAAAGAAGCATGATGAGTGCCCTTTTCTTTCCTTTTATTATCTTTTTAAATTTGAAAGTTTGGGTGAGATATATGTTCAAATAAGATGGAGTATAAGGAAAATAATTTCTTTTTAGAGTAAATTTCATGTAACTTTTGGTCTGAATGAAAATTTTAACATTTAGCATTTTCAAGTTTGTAATTTTTCACCTGGTAGTCAGTTGGCCTGTGCTTTGGTTCTCTGAAAGGAAGCAATCAAGAGAAGGCCTTCGTCTCCTTTAAAGATCTGTGCTTCACTCTAGATGAACTCAGCCTAATTGACTCTTGGCACATTTTTTACCAATTTAATTTTCTGCTTTCCCAGCCTTTTTCTTCTAATGAACTTATTAGAAGGATGAACAAGCTAGAAGGAAATATTGGGAGAAATTAATAGAATATACAACTATAAGGAAAAGAGATAGTTGACCTTCTGAATATAAAAGTCAGTTTACCTCCTGACTGTACAAAGGTAGTAGATAGAAAAATTTTTAAAAGATTACTGTATATTTATATAGATATAAAAGGATTCTTATACTGATTTGAACAAGTTACCAAGAAAACATCAAATTGGTTTTAGTCTGTTAGAAGTATACTGAAATGTGGGAGACATTTTAGAAAGATTTCTATTAAGTTTTTTTTTTTTTTAATAAAAGTTATTCCTTGAAAGGAAAAAGCTTTTGTTTTCTGGGCAATATAATTTTGAGAAGACCTTATTCTCCCCTCAGTGACAGATAAATGAAGTATTAACATATTTTGTTATTTAATTTTTAAAAAAATTTTATATTTACTTTTTCCATTTTAATTGAATGTTATTAATTGAGGTACTGTCCTTTTTGTGATCATAAGAAGGGAACTTTATAATGATGATCTTCTTTTATAAATGTAAGCATGCTGATTTCCTTATCCATATGAGTGTTACCTTGTTCAAAGTGTTTATCCCAACAGTGCTGTTGTTTTTGAAACTCTTGTTTTAGACTTGCCTTCAGAGTTGTGAGCTCTTTTTGAAGGTGAATTTGATATTCAGAAATTGCTAAAAGCCCTTTAAAGCCACATTTATCTGGTGGGTATAAAGTTTGTAATCAGACTGGTTAAAATTATTTTTGGACAGAAATAGAGTCCTGTTTCAACACTGAGATGTAGTTTCTTGAGTGGCTCTTAAGTTAATCTGAGTATATTTCTAAAAGAGTTCTAAAAAATACTGTGAGTAGTTGTAGAATTATTGAAATAGGTGTATAGCGCCTAAGATGACTGTTTTAAAAGAATCATGCACTCTTTGACTATTGTCATATTAGTGTAAGCAACAAAAACCTCATTTTAGAATTATTTTATTCCATCTGGTATAGAAATCTTTACTTTGCAATTTACTTTATACTCCTGTTTTTCAGACTTAGTATTTATAATTCACAGTTTAGCCACTGATTTTATGTATAAATGATGATAACATTTATAAATGACTTTAATAGGCAGTTGTTTGTTTATATACATGGCCAAACTATTATTTCCTCATTGTCCTAGACTTTGTCCTAGGCTTTGGTAGGATAGAATTGTAGTCTAATGTGTCTTAGGGAAACTGTTGGAATCTGATTGTTCTCACTTTTTAAAAGCTGCCTGGATTTCATTTGATGATAGGTCTTATAATACTCTTTTAGGTAAAACAGAATTGTATTTTTTTCTTTAATTAGGCTCAAGAGGCCCAGGGAATCCTCTGGACCATCAGAATACCAGTGAAAGAGGAGAATCAAGCTGTGATAGGTTAGCTGATGCCCACAGAGCACTTTCTGACACTGGGTCCCTTTCACCTCCATGGGAACAGGATCGTAGGATGATGATCCCTCCATCAGGTATGGAAAAAATATAATTATTTATATTTGAAAGGCAACCAGTCTGTGCAACATAGAGGAGTGGAAGAAAAGAGGAACACATGTATGTCCTAAGAAAAACCATGATATATATTAGAAAACAACAGTAACATAAATCTCCAAACATTAAAATTAGGGGTAATTGTTCATGTTACAGAAATCTGCTTTGCTCCCCTCAGACCCTCCCATGGAATATCTTTATTATTTTTGTTGCTCATAGAAGTAATACATGTTTATTTTAGAAAATCCAAACAATTGTGGGGCGCCTGGGTGGTGCAGTCAGTTAAGCATCAGATTTTTGGTTTCGGCTTAGGTCGTGATCTCAGGGTTGTGGGACTGAGCCCTACATCAGGCTCTGCGCTCAGCACAAAGTCTGTTTAAGATTCTCCCCGCCTTTCCGTCTGCCCCTCCTCCCCACTCTCTCTCTCAAATAAATAAATAAATCTTAAAAAAAAATCTAAACAATGGAGAAATGTGTAATTAGGAAAGTGAAAAAAACCTCTATCATCATCTTAGCATACCTTTCTAAGAATTTAGTTTTATATCTTTTAAAAGGTGCATGTTGTACTTTTTGTTTTGTTTTGTTTTTTGGGCATATGTTCATAAACATAAATATAAAAATTCCTTCACTTCTCTGCAATTATACTGTTCACCTTCTTGAAATTGTCTTTTCTCATTGAACAAAATGTCTTAGATTAACTGCTAAAATAAATATATTTACTAGAAGAGTCATAGCAGAATATCCCAAAGGAAGGCAATAACTGCTATTTTCCTAATAGCTCTTACTTTCCCAAGGAGTGTATTTAAAATTATTTGGTTTGCTAAGCTTTATTTAGGCATAGTGTTTCAGGGACACTGTTACGTGAAGTGAGCTACGCCTGCTTTGTTTACATTAGTTACATTTAAAAAAAATATTATTTCCGATTCCTTCCTGAGGAGTTGGAGAGGGTAAGAATATTATAGTAAAAGAACTTTAATTCCAAGAATCAGCCCTTGCTATAGTAGTGTGTGTATGTTCTAAGATATGGTGGCTGCCCATACTGTGGTTTTGCTTTGTTTGCTATCACTAAATATCAGCTTCATGAAGACAGAGAGTTGTGTCACTTTGTTCACTGCTATAGCCTCAGCACCTAACACAATGCTAGGCATGTAGTATTTGCTCAGCAAATGGTTGTTGTTGTTGTTTTTTTTAAAGATTTTTTTATTTATTTGAGAGAGAGAATGAGATAGAGAGAGAGCATGAGAGGGGGGAGGGTCAGAGGGAGAAGCAGACTCCCTGTTGAGCAGGGAGCCTGATGCGGGACTCGATCCCCGGACTCTAGGATCATGACCTGAGCAGAAGGCAGTCGCCTAACCAACTGAGCCACCCAGGCGCCCCTCAGCAAATATTTGTTGAATGAATGACTACCCAAATAATTCTGACAAAGCTGAGAATTTTTTTTTTATATTTGGAGATCTATTTGCTGTGATGTACATACTTAAGAATCTTTTAGGGGGTAGCATAGAACATCTTCTTTCATACCTTTAATATTCATTAAAAAGTTTTGCTGTGATAAAAATAAAGATAATAAACCACAGCTCCTTTCTCAAAGGACTTGGTTACAAGATTTTGGTGGATATCATATCTCTACATACAGAACTTTTCTTTGAGAATTTACAAGCTATTAGTACCAGGAGTCCCTGTCACATGCACTGCATAGCTCTTCAGGAAAATCTAGTGTAGTGGCTCAAAGCTGGCTCATCTTCAGAAATAACTTAGGAAACTTAAAGGAAAATGCAGATACATCTGGGTCCCACCACAGATCAGGCCTTCTGAATGTGAATATTGGAGTAAAGCCTGTATTTCTAAAAAAACTCCCTTGGAGGTTCTGAGGAGCAGCTACATTTAAAAACCATTAATCTAGGGCGCCTGGGTGGCTCAGTCGTTAAGTGTCTGCCTTTGGCTCAGGTCATGGTCCCAGGGTCCTGGGATCGAGCCCCGCATCGGGCTCCCTGCTCCGCGGGAAGCCTGCTTCTCCCTCTCCCACTCGCTCTGCTTGTGTTCCCTCTCTCGCTGTGTCTCTCTCTGTCAAATAAATAAAATCTTTAAGAAAAAAAAAAAAACCATTAATCTAAACCTCCCCCGCCAAACCCCACTAATCTATTCATTTCCCTTATTATTCGGAAAGAACACTGAGTCCTCAAAGAGATTAGCTGACCGTCTTAGGTTAAAACAGCTAGGCATGGGGCGCCTGGGTGGCTCAGTCGTTAAGCATCTGCCTTCGGCTCAGGTCATGATCCCAGGGTCCTGGGATCGAGCCCCACATTGGGCTCCCTGCTCAGCGGGAAGCCTGCTTCTCCCTCTCCCACTCCCCCTGCTTGTGATCCCTCTCTTGCTATGTCTCTGTCTGTCAAATAAATAAATAAAATCTTCAAAAAAAAACAAAACAGCTAGGCAAATAGGAGAGACTAGAACTCAGACAGTAATGACTTTGTTATTGTTCATTCATAAAATTAGAAAATATTTTACATGTTCTTTAAAAATTGCCTGAAACCTATAATTTTAGACCTTTTGATATTATTTCATAGATTGCTGAATCTTTTCATTTTGTTTCCAATTTTTTTTTTATTCTTTTGGTTGAATAATTTCTATTGATCTTTCTTTAAATTTACAGACTCTTCCCTCTGTCATCTCCATTCTGCTATTAATATTAAGCCCATTCAGTAAAAGTTTTATTTTGGATACTGTATTTTTCAGTTCTAGAATTTTCATTTTTTTATACTTGCTATCTCTCCTGAGATTTCTTTTTATTCATTAAAAGCATTTTCTAAATCTCATTGAGTATAGTTTTTTTTTTTAAATATTTATTTTTAGAGTGAGAGAGACCATGTGTGAGTAGGGGAGGGGCAGAGGAGAAGGAGAGAAAGAGAATCCCAAGCCATCTCCACACCGAGCGGGGACCCTGACTCAGGGCTTGATCCCAAGACCCCAAGATCATAACCTGAATGGAAACCAAGAGTCGGACGTTTAACTGAGTGAGCCACCCAGGCGCCCCTGAGTATAGTTTTTTAATAGCTGCTTTAAGGACCTTGATTGATCATTCTTTTTTTTTAATTTTTAAATTTTTTATTTTTAATTTTATTTTTTTTAAAGATTTATTTATTTGAGAGAGAGAGAATGAGAGAGAGAGCGCACATGAGAAGGGAGAGGGTCAGAGAGAGAAGCAGGCTCCCCACCGAGCAGGGAGCCCGATGCGGGACTTGATCCTGGGACTCCAGGATCATGACCTGAGCCGGAGGCAGTCACTTAACCAACTGAGCCACCCAGGTGCCCCTCTTTTTTTTTTTTTTTTTTAAGATTTATTTATTTATTAGAAAGTCCCATGAGCATGGGGTTGGGGGGGATCAGAGAGAGAATGAGGGGGAGAGAATCCCAAGCATGGTCCCGGCTGAGTGCAGGGTCTGACGGGGCTCGACCTCACAACCTTGAGGTCATGATCTGAGCCTAAATCAAGAGTCGGATGCTTAACTGACTGAGCCACGCAGGTGCTCCAAGACCTTGAATGATCATTCTAACATTAGGGTCATTTTGAGGATGGCCTCTGTTGATTGTCTTTTCCCTTCAAATTGGGTCACCTTGTTATACAGAGTAATTTGGATTGTATCCTAGACATTATGGGGATTCTGGATTTTATTGTATTTCTCTGAGGAACTCAAAGTTAGATTTTTTTTCTCACTAGACAGCAGTCCAAATATCATTCAGTTTTTAGCCTTAGCTGAAAATGCTTTAAGCTTACTTCACACATTTGTGGTTCAGGGGTCAGCCATTGAGTTGGGCAAAAATCTCAGAATCTTAGGCTCACTTCTTTGGCTCTCCTGGGCTCTGTCCTTTGGTTTTTCAAGCCACGATTTTCTATGAGCTTTGACTCCTCTGTGCTGTAGCTTGACTATGGTCTGCCTTCAGGCTAAACTATAAAAAATGGAAAACTCACCCCATAGTGGTACCTTCTTCCAAGTTCTCACCCTTTTACAAAATCTATTTTTGTTCATGCTTCAGAGCCTTCAGGTAGTTATTTTATTTTATTATTTTTAAATTTTTAATGTTTTTCCAGTTTTATTGGGCTATCATCTATAAACATCACTGTATAAGTTTAAGGTGTACAGCATAATGATTTGCCTTATATATATATACTGTGAAATGATTATCACAGTAAGTTTAGTTAACATCCATCATCTAAGTACCAAAAAATATATATATATATATTTTCCTTGTCATGAGAATTTTTAAGATATCTCTTAACTTTCCTTTGTGTCATACAGCAGTGTTAGCTACAGTCATCATGTCATACATTATATCCTTAGTACTTATTTATCTTATAACTGGAAATTTGTATCTTTTGACCATCTTCATTTAGTTCTCCCTCTCCCTACCTCTGGTCGCTACAAATCTGATCTCTTTTTTTCTAGAGTTTGTTTTTTGTTTTTGTAGATTCCATATGTAAGTGAGATTGTACAGTATTTGTCTTTCTCTGCCTAACTTAGTATAATGTCCTTAAGGTCCATCCGTGTTGTCACAAATGGCAGGATTTCCTCCTTTTTTAATGGCCAAATAATATTGTATTGTGTGGATATAGCACATTTTCTTTCTTTCTATCTTTTCTTTTTTTTTTTTTAAAGATTTCATTTATTTGTCAGAGAGAGAGATTGAGAGATAGAGAGAGCACAAGCAAGGGGAGTGGCAGGCAGAACAGTAGAGGGAGAAACAGGCTCCCGCTGAGCAAGGAACCCGATGCGGGACTCGATCCCAGGACCCTGGGATCATGACCTGAGCTGAAGGCAGACGCTTAACGACTGAGCCACCCAGGTGTCCCTATAGCACATTTTCTTTATTCATTCATCTATTGATGGCTCTTAGATTGTTTCCATATCTTGACTATTGTAAATAACACTGTAGTGAACATGGAGGTGCAGATATCTCTATGAGATCGTATTTTTGTTTCCTC